CCTGCGATGTTTGCCAGCGAACGGTGGCTAAGCGGAGCATCGTGAAGGCGCCACTTGGAGAGATGCCTTTAATTGACACGCCATTCCGTCGTGTTGCAGTGGATCTAGTGGGTCCTATCACTCCCGTCACTGATCGAGGAAACAGGTATATACTTATAGCAATGTTCTTGCTAGACTTAGGTCAGCTGGTTTGACAGCCCGTCCCACAAAGTGCTTCATAGGATTTAATGAGATTGATTTCCTAGGCCACGTGGTTGGTGGAGGCAGTCTTCAACCTCAGCCAGGTAAAGTAGAGGCAATCTTAAACGCGAAAAGACCTACTACAAAGAAGGAAGTCAGATCCTTTTTAGGGTTAGTGGGGTACTATCGCCGTTTCGTGCCCAATTTTGTCAAGTCACAAATCAACGAAAACATACGGTTATCCCACCGAGATCTATCTTAAGACTTAGGTTTCCGGGCTAAGTGTTACAAGAAAATCGGGACCAGCAGTTAGGATCTTATCGCTCTGATTTTGCCAATTTCACCCCACCGGGACTGATATTTACCGACCGATCTGAACCTGCTGCATCAGGGATACCGCTCAATCATACCCAATAACTCAGCTCATACACTCGAGATGTTTTTGTCCTGCGATCGAAATCGTACTGCGTCACACTCATCTCTCACTACCTTAAATTTACTATAAGAAAAGCGTCTAGTATGTACAGATAACAATAGGAATCACGGAAGTAGAGCTGGACTTCAACACGAACAAAAACACAACAATGTTTCATGGCCGAACGGTTAGATAATTCCTTTACAACAGAAAACGCGTCTCTTGCTGGCATCATTTACGCCTGATCGTGCTGGGACAGAACACTAGTGGCTAAGATACATATGCGCGCGAAATTCAAATAAAAGCCATTGGTTAATACAGGTGGTTCACAATAGTGCGCCTCCAAGAGTTAGCACTGCGTTGGCCAATCACAACGCTCGAAATCTGTCGACCTTTTCCAAACGGGCATTGGGTCGACAGATTTCGCTCACTGTGATTTGTCAGCGCGTTGCAAACCTTTTTAGGCGCTCTACTGTGAAATGCCTGGTATTTACGGGAATGAAACCATTTACTTTGTTAGGGCTATTTTGCGAAGTATAATTAAACAAGAAAAAGAAAATGCGTATTTCGCGTCTGGGACTGTCCTGACAATTTCCTACAAATTCCATCTTGTTTTCATCAGGCAAAAGGACATTCCGCCCGTCAAAAATCCCCGTCTTCTTCCTCATCCTTTCTTGCTTGTTTCAGCCTGGTATTGTTGGACATGTGCTTCTTTCGAGCTCTGCAACCTCTTAGTCCGTTTTGGTGGAAGAACCTGTGACCTGTGGACAGTACCAACTTCATCTCTGAAGTCTTCCATTCCCAAAACAGGTTTTCCTTGGTTGCTCGAGGCTGAACCACACTTGTCTAACCAGTGACTTCTAATTGATCGGTGTCAGCCTGGGTTCACAGCCTGATTTTAAAAGGATTTGGTTGTCCGTAGGCCCGATACCCCTGTACGATCGTCTGCACAGATGAACATGTTACTTCTTGTTTACTTTATAACAGCCACGTGGGCACGACCTCGCCAACAGGTTTTGCATAGAATTTATAATCAATAAGAAAAGGGCATAATGCAAGTGATATAAGGCCATTTCAGAGCTATTCAGGGCTATTGGAAAGGAATCATGCGGCGAGTGACTTTGATACTATATGTTAATTGACGCACTATTTCCGCTATGCCATGAGTGAAACTGTGAATAAAGTCATCCAAATGGAAATGATTTTAGAAACCTTTGATAGAAATGAGAATTGTTGACATTATAAACGACTGGAAAGAACAGAAACTGTAGAGAAAAGAGTTCTAAAAAGGAATACATGTGACAATATTCTGTTAAACCGCAGGTTATTAATGCTAGGGCACAACTGTAAATGTGTATCGTTGTGGGAATAAACGGTCGAACACTGCACTCATAACAGCATGTTTGAGTTTGGTCTCGGGTATGGTGTGCATATTAAACATTTAATCCAAACGCATCTCTGTTTTATTAACAGTCTTCTTGCTCTTTTAGTGATATCTCTTTAAGAACAAGGCAATTTTATCTTTGTCTCTGGTGATTTTGTACCTTTTTAAAATCAAATGCTGGTTACACCTCACAAAAATAGCGATATTTCTACTTTGGACTGAGTTTTAATTTTGCGTGCCATACTCGAGTGTATCTTCAAGAGAACTGTATTTGGTAAAATATGTCCCAAGAATTTCCCAACTGAGGCAGTATCAAAGCAGATATATAGTCCACTCCAGCGGGTAGAAGTACCTATTGCAGTAAATGCAATGGTTTCAGAAAGTCCTCTCGACAAAATTGCATGCAAGACAGCTAACTGGAAAGACATATTTTCTCTACCTTGGTGTTTCTTCCTATTATAAAGCTGATCTTGACGTTCTTGGAGCTATATGAAGTGCTCGCCATGGTGTCACTGGTAAGATTGTGTATTGAATTACTCATTCGGTTAGACAGGATATTTAGGTTTCACATCCGTTTTATTCTTATACTGATGTCGGCAAGGAGGGACTGATGAGTTATTAGGTATAATAGGCAGCACGTTTAGGGTAATTTGAGATAAATACGTCTATTAAGAAGTTACGTTGCCCAAACCATACATGTTCTTGCAAAAGAACAAGCCTGTCTAACGCCTGCTCACTGCAACAATATTGCACCGTTAAAGGTCACCAAAAGAGGGAAAGTGCATGGTAAAGGTACTCCGTCCGTTTTAAACCCCGGCATTGCGTGATGATAGTCACCCTGTGATAGTTATTAGCAAGTGCCAACTTTAGATCTGATTTTACTGGGGACTTCATTGAGATCAACCCGAAAGGGGGGCCTGGACTGTGGCCATTATTCAAGGGGTACTGAAAGCAAATATTCAATAATTTACAATTTACTGTTCCTGATTTGTTATAACGCCACTTGTACCGACGCCAAATGCCATCGTTTTATCATACTTTTTGACATACAAAGAAGGAGCAAAATTTCCGTTGTTACCAAATATGGGCAATAATCCACTGTTTTCCGGCAAATGGAGAAGCAAACGCATCCTGATCGATTCTCCCTGGTCTTCATAAGGATTCATGGAGATGCAGATCAGCGTGGTTTCAAGCGTACACGGTGTGTCGCTGTACTGCCGTTTTTGTTTCTCCTTTTTTACATTTATCATCCCTTTCGTTATCCAACCCAACGTTTTGCCTGTAAATTAACACTTCTTTATCCGCTAACAACTTTCGGAGCTCAAATGTTTTTTGTGGAGTTTCCTCTCTGATAAGAGCTGAGCCAGTAACTACGCAGATATCTTGTTTCACCAGCCTAGTGAACGTTGTATATACATATTATGATTACTGTTACTAAAATCAGCTGGTAATAAACAGGTTTTCCATCCCATTTGAAAATATTTTAATTCCAGTTCAACAGTTCTGACATTTAAAATCGCCCCATTTTATTTCAAAGTATTGTCACCACATTTAAAACCTGTGTATGAAGAATATTCATAGGCCAAATTACAGACTGCATTTTCTCAGCTATTTGCACAAAACGTGTTGCCTTCCTCATCCATATCCTCCTCTTCAGAGTCTGTGCCTTCATATGAGGGTGTGGGAGGGCGTGATTTCTTGGTGATTTGTTTCCTTTTCCCTTCTCCTGTCTTTGTCACTTCTTCTTCTCTCGGGCTTTTTTCTTTTCTTCAGCCATTTTCTTTTTTCAGCTGCCTTACCGTTCTCTTTTCTTCTGTTGTTTCTCTTGGGCTCGGAGTTCCTCTTGTGCCTGTTTGGTTTTCATTCCCTGTATGATTTCATCAGCTGTCATTACACGAGATGTTGTTGTTTGTCTTCGCTTTTTATTGTCAGTTCTGTTGACAGCAGCTGTTGGCAGTGGTAGTAAATCTGTCAGCCACTCGTTTCCAATCTTTGGTTGTTCCTGTGGTGCCAAGCTTGCCTGACTGTTAGTCACTGCTAATGATGAACTAGCTAGTGCTGAGCTGGGTCTACTCCTAGTAGTAGTTGATGCTCTTGATGTGCTGGGGATATCCCGTGGCACTTGAGATACTGAGGTGTTTGGGGTTTCTTTCGGCAGCAATGAGACGTCTTGTTGCAGATTAGTGTCTGCCTCACTCTCAGTATCTTCTGTTGCTATTTCCTCTCTTTCTGCCTGTGCTGCTTCTTCTGCGTCTGTTTCGACCAACACCCATGCCTTGGATGGCTAAAATGCCTCCTTTGGCACTGCTGCAGGGGAGATTCCAGTTGCCCAGAAACAACTAACGGCATTCGCAATAGTGGCTCCTTGACTGTAAGCTCGGCAGAAGAGCTCTGAGAACTCATATCTTGTCACGACTTTGCCTGGGTTTTGGCTCATGTAGTTGGCACATTCTCTGTCATAGACCATCTTCAATGGACCAAGAACTGTTCGGTCGAGAGGCTGCAACCAGTTAGTTGTGTGAGCTGGTAGGCACAACATCTCAATCTGATTTTCTTTCGCAAACTCAACAGTATTAAGGCCAATATGGGATGCATGGCCATCGACAATGAGGAGAACAGGGCGGGCAGGGGGATCTGCTGTGCAAAAAACTTGATACGTTGGAAGAAGATCTTTGAGTTCATGTAGGATGTGTCTGAGCAGCCAAATAATGTCCCTGGTGGAGCATTGTGCGTCAAGGCTGGGGATAATCTTGACCCTCTGAAAAAAGGGGAACAAAACTACCCACAGCATTTGCACATGCCAGCACACTGGTGTTAAAACCCCGTTCAGCACTCATCTTAGAATGAATTTGTTTCTTTCTTTTTTGGCCAATTATCTTGGTGCTTTGTGGATAGACAAAAGCCCAGTTTCATCTGCTTTGAAAATCTGTGCAGTAGCAAGTGTTACCAACTACTACTACAGCAACAGCTCTCCTCATTGAATCTGCCTCCCATTTATTTTGAGGCCTGCACTTCAATGCACAGTATATTCGCACCATTCTACATTTATAGAAATAAAAAAATACCAAGATGTTATTAAATATTGTCACATGGTGATACATGTAGCTGTAATGAACAGTCGATAACTTAGCTCTTACTGAGAAAAAAAATACGGAAATGGTTAATACATGTACACCAATGGGGCAACTGGCCCATGTGGACCACTAGCCCCCAAAACTGGTGGTCTAGTGGCCCCAAATATTTTCAATATGGAATTATTAATGAATAATGTCCAATATTGTAGCACAATTACCAATAAAATACATTTCTTAATATTTCAACTGAAAAATAAAAACAAACTAGTGAAATGAGCCATTCTGAACACAATGTTAAGGAGTTTTCAAAATAAGAACAAATAATACTGGCCATTTTGTTATCCTTCAGCAAACCAAGATGATGCAGCAACACATTATGAAACCATTATAGGCTCACAGTGTACACAAAATGATTGAATTCCCCCAGTTTCATTTAGGCCTACCCTTTTCCTTTCTTTTGGCTATTTTATTCAAATATACAATTGATTAAATAAATACTTATTCCAGGGTTAAAATCTACCCCTTCCAAGCAGTCTGTTGTTGTTTTTATCTTCAAAAGACGCCATTTTGAAAATCCCAGCACACAAAAAACAGTCGGCTATTGATGCTCCAACCTTACCATGCATTGTGATCTAACAAGAAATAACCCACTGACATGTAACGTGGCAACCATGCTTCACATTACCACCCATTTTAAGTCCACTTTACCCCGGTTAATTACTTCAAACTGTGTTTCAAACTTACCTTGCATAAGCAATACTACTAATCAGAAATGCAAGACGTGTTTTGCACGTTTTGATGGACGACAAACTGAAGAAAAGTCTCGATTATTCTGAGTAAATCCGGCGTGGGAACGCGATTTCTGTGGTTGTAGACAGCACATGTAAGGTCAAAGGCCACATGCCTTTGTTGTGCCCAGTGAGGGCAGCAGAGCAGAAACAACATCCAAAATCCTTAGGAGTGGGCCACTTGCCCCGATTGACCATTAGCCCCACATTCCCCCCTATGTGCACTTTATGCCCTTGTCAATTATGCTTGACAACTGATGAAGACTAAATAACATACCAACGGTATTAATTTGAAATAATATTTGACGAATACAATCTCCAAGTATTGAAGTAGCTTAGAATTTTCAATTAAGAAGCAGTGGGTAGAGAGAATAATATTTAAAAACAGCTAAGATCTCAAAGTATTTAACTTATCGCTAATGTACTTAAATGGCCGACGTGAGTCACAGGGAAATCGTTATTTGTTGTTTGGCTGTTTACAAAAGTGATTAGGTTCACTTTTGAAGCTCCTGTCATTTTGTCTTTAGTTGTGTATATAAATTATGTGTGTTGTCCGACGTAATGATGCCGAATAAACCCTTATCCTGTAAAGGCCCGTTGCCAAACCAGAGAGGGGGGTTCGTTAAATCCCAAAGTGAAATTGTTGGAATTGTGAACACATATTTTTATTCAAAGGCCTATCAAAATGTGCTTTGGAACAAGTTGCATGTTTGTCGCGACCGAAGAATGAAAGTAATACTTTTTAACTTCAGTTTTCAATATGCCCGGCATGTTGTCAATTGGCCTGGCATGAATTTGCTCGTGGAATGCTATAAATATCTCAGAAAATCCCCCAAAAAACTTGAAGTTCCATAAAATTGTTAAACTTGGTACATCATGATTACCTACACCCTCTTACTGAACTAAAATTATTAAAAAAGAAAAAAAGTGTTTTGGGGCGCATTTAATCAAAAGAGTTCAATTAGGATTTTGGCAAACAAAATCGGAAAATTGCACCTAATGAAATTTCATCAATCCTTGTAGTGGGTAAATGAAATCGACATCTATGAATCCGAATATTTGGAGTTTGATTAAATTTCACCTTTTGTGGGACTAGAGGTGAAATATGGCTCCTATCCACACAAAACGTTAGAAGCGAAAATACGAAGTAGCCAACGTTAGGGTCTTCACTTAGTAACTGATTTCATTCTTAAAATGTTCCCGCATAAGCTGCCCTGAGTTTACACCGTAGGGACATTTTCAGAGTGAGAATCATAAGTCATAGTATGTTCCAAAAACTACGATATATTTTTTAAAAAATGTATTAAAAAACACCACCAACAAGCGGAACTCAGAAGCAAGTGGGGGGCTTTGTTCAAACCCCGACCCTCGCAACCCACGGGCCTCCTTTTGTGCACGGCCTGTTGTAACCAAAATACTGAATAAGTGAATATGTCATGCACACAATCCAGTGTGTACAACATTTCTGTCCTTCATAATTGATATCAATGATATTAAATGCTTGAGCGCTAGATAGAATATGGAACTACTGTGCGCGTACCCCAGCCAAAGAATTACACATTATGGGCACCGTCAATGTGTGCAAACCCATACTGGGTTGCGGTTTGCAAATGTGCGTCACACACTTTCTAAGGCGCTAGCGCTGCAGAGCTGGGTTCAAACATTCTGTGAAGCCGTAAGTGGGAAAAGTGCTTGTGAATTTTCAATAATTTTCTAATCAAATGGACATATTGTTATATGTAGTTAGAGCCAATGATCAAATATCGCTCTAAACCAAGCAGAATCTGTGCAAGAAGTGTTACAAAACAAATATTGACGNTTGGTGGTTTGTGGATAGACGAAAACCCAGTTTCATCTGCGTTGAAAATCTGTGCAGGTTTGTCGTTCAGTTGTAGCTCTGTTAATGTGGTTGCTAGCAACTTGAAGTAGTGCTCCACAACCACGTCATTCATGGCTCTGGCACGGGCAGCAGAGAGGGCTTCTGGCTTTGTAGTGGTCAGCTGGGGATGCCGCTTATAGAATTGCTTCAACCAGTCGTAGCCAGCCCTCTTGGTGATCTTGTTGAATGGATGGGACCTGCCAGATTTCTCAACAATGGCATATGCGGTTTCACATACCAGTTGTGGGGTAACGCCAAATAGACGAGACTCCCTCTCCAAGCACCATTGGGCCAGCCTGTCTTCCTCAGCTTTGGTGAGAACTGTTTGCTTATGCGCTGGCGCATCTTGATCTACCAGGTTCTGCACATTCTTGTCAATGTTGTTCTTGGAGCATTGAATTGTTTTGATATATCTCGAAGACTGAGACTGATGCATCTCGATGAGGAGAGCTGTTGATGCAGTAGCAAGTGTTGCCAACTACTACTACAGCAACAGCTCTCCTCATTGAGTCTGCCTCCCATTTATTTTGAGGCCCGCACTTCAATGCACGGTATATTCACACCATTCTACTTTATAGAAATACAAAAATACCAAGACGGTATTAAATATAGTCACATTGTGATACACGTAGCTGTAATGAACAGTCAATAACTAAACTCTTACTGAGAAAAAACATACGGAAATGGTTAATACATGTACACCAACGGGGCAACTGGCCCATGCGGACCACTATCCCCAAAAACTGGTGGTCTAGTGGCCCCGAATATTTTCAATATGGAATTATAAATGAATAATGTCAAATATTGTAGCACAATTACCATTAAAATACATTTCTTAATATTACAACTGAAAAATAAAAACAAACTAGTGAAATGAGCCATACAATTTCTGAACAAAATGTTTAGGATTTTAATTTATATAACGGTTTGCCCGTAATAAATTAACATCTTCCCAACGCAAAAATACATCTTGAAAATGTTTAGGAGTTTTCAAAATAAGAACAAATAATAGTGGTCCTTTTGTTATCCTTCAGCAAACCAAGATGATGCAGCAACACAACACATTATCAAACCATTATAGGCGATTTCTGTAGTTGTAGAAAGCACATATAAGTTTAAAGGCCACATGCCTTTGCTGTGCCCAGTGAGGGCAGCAGAGCAGAAACAACTTCCAAAATCCTTATAGGAGTGGGCCACTTGCCCCGATGGACGAGTAGCCCCACATTCCCCCTATGTGCACTTTATCCCCTTATCCAATTATGCTCAACAACGGATGAAGACTAAATAACATACCAACGGTATTAATTTTAAATAATATTTGACGAATACAATCTCCGAGTATTGAAGTAGCTTAGAATTTTCAATTAAGAAGCAGTGGGTAGAAAGAATAATATTTTAAAACAGCTAAGATCTCAAAGTAATTAACTTATCCCTAATGTACGGAAATGGCCGACGCGAGTCACAGGGAAATCTTTATTTGTTGTTTGTTGTTTGGCTGTTTACAAAAGTGATTAGGTTCACTTTTGCAGCTCCTGTCATTTTGTCTTTGGTTGTGTATATAAATTATGTGTGTTGTTCGACGTAATGATGCCGAAAAAACCCCTATCCTGCAAAGGCCCGTTGCCAAACCAGAGGGGGGGGGTCGTTAAATCCCAAAGTGAAATTGTTGGAATTGTGAACACATATTTTTATTCAAAGGCCTATCATAATGTGCTTTGGAACAAGTTGCATGTTTGTTGCGACCGAAGAATGCAAGTAAGACTTTTTAACTTCAGTTTTCAATATTCACGGCATGTCGTCAGTTGGCCTGGTATGAATTTGCTCGTGGAATGCTATAAATATCTCAGAAAATCCCACAGAAAACTTGAAGTTCCATAAAATTGTTAAACCATTATTACCTACACCCTGTTACTGAACTAAAATTATTAAAAAAGAAAAAAATATTTTGGGGCACATTTAATCAAAAGAGTTCAATTAGGACTTCGGCAAACAAAATCGGAAAATTGTGGCTAAATAAAATGTCATCAATCCTTGTAGTGGGTAAATGAAATCGACATTTATGAATCAGAATATTTGGAGTTTGATTAAATTTCACCCTTTGTGAGACTGGAGGTGAAATATGGCTCCAATCCATACAAAACGTTAGAAGCTAAAATACGAAGTAGCCAACATTAGGGTCCCCACCATTATCGGATACGCAGTCTTCAAGACTTAGTGTAAGCAGCGCGCAACCCAGTGTTGTCATTTAACGCAAACGTTTCCGAGTCCCTTTTAAACAGTTACCAAACGACCAGTGCAATAATAAACAACATGGAGTTCTCAACCGTAAAAGACAACAAAGAACAGATACACCACACGATTTGTGAGAGGTGAAAAGTAGTTGGTACACTTACTAGTCTATTAAGTCTCTCTGGACTGGTTTCCCTCATTTCCAACACGCGAATGGGGTTAATGTAAACAACAACCAACGAAAACATGACTGCCTTGTCCCTGCGTCGGAAGCGCTGCGCTGCTTGCACACGTGGCTGACGGCGGCGGCGGCCCGGGCTAGGCTGGGCTAAAACATGGCACAGTGCAGCGTTTAGTAACTGATTTCATTCTTCAAATGTTGCTGCAAAAGCTGCCCTGAGTTTACGCCGTAGGGACATTTTCAGAGTGAGAATCATAAGCCATGGTATGTTCCGAAAACTACGATATATTAAAAAAAAAAAAACTCCAACAAGCGGAACTCAGAAGCAAGCGGGGGGCTTTGTTCTAACCCCCGACCCTACCAACCCACGGGCCTCCTTTTGTGCACGGCCTGTTGCAACCAAAATACTGAATAAGTGAATACGTCATGCACACAATCCAGTGTGTACAACATTTCTGTCCTTCATAATTGATATCAATGATATTAAATGCTTGAGCGCTAGATAGAATATGGAACTACTGTGCGCGTACCCCAGCCGAAGAATTATACATTATTGGCACCGTCAATGTGTGCACACGTATACTGGGTTGCGGTCTGCACATGTGCGTCACACGCTTTCTAAGGCGCTAGCGCTGCAGAGCTGGGTTCAAACATTCTGTGAAGCCGAAAGTGGGAAAAGCGCTTGTGAACTTTCAATAATTTTCTTAATCAAATTGACACATTGTTATATGTAGTTAGAGCCAATGATCAAATATCACTTCAAACTAAGCAGAACCTGTGCTTGAAGTGTTACAAAACAAATATTGACAGCAATACGTCAAGGTGCAGTGTAATTAGCGTCCACCTGTGATCCATGCAGCATTCCATTTTCCCTCACCTCGGAGAAATAGTATACACATATGGAGTGGCAATGAGGTCACTAGTGCACACCTATGTCCCCGAGGGACTGTGAGTGACCAGAAAAGGGTTCCCAAGGCCGAAAGCCGAGGGGAAATAGGACTCTCCTCTGGTCAATCACAGGCTCGAGGGGCATGGGCGTGCACTAGTGACCAAATTTGGCCAGTTCATATGTGTTTTATAACACACCTTATATTAGCAAAACATTCTTTGAGGGTTTCAACTGTTTTAATTCAACTTTCAATAGCACTTCAAAAATTGCCAAAAAAATTGAAGGTTCATTTTAATTTTGACAGAAACAAGCTAATTTTGAGTCACTGGGTACAACTAGGAAAAAGCATCTTCCAAGGTGTGAAATGTTTCGATTTAGGACAACCTCTAGAGGGCGCAATAACCAGTCAAAATTGTCAAGAGTAGTACCTGACCAGGCACTAGTCTCTGGAATAGACATGCGTGCGCAATGTCTGGGCGCACGTTGAGTCATGCTGAAGCCAAATTCATGTACTCTCCTATATAAGTGAACCACACATGACCATACTTCAGCCAACCAGGATAAAGAACCAGGAAGAAGTATGTTTTAAAATGACCTAGTTCATTGTTCAAAAAGCTCATGCCCATATTGAAGCGCGGACTTGCGAGCGTTCTTTGTTCCTGAATGTCCTTACCTTTTTACAAGACAGAACAAGTTCATTCTGTACAGATTAACTCCGAATGCTAGTTTACCACACTGATTGAAGCAACTAACTCTTGTTAACAAATCAATAGAAGAAGTAAGGACAAATCCAGCTTTATCTTTTATCATATACACAAAAATAGGCACCAACTAGGAGAATAGGTCATGGAACATGGCACAAACTTTTTTTTCAATTTTAAAAGGATTACATTGGCAGTAGCTAAGGATGAATGAAAGCGTCAAACTGGAATATTCCCTTTATTTTCCTTTATGTACCTTTTTTTAATAGAGTTTTGTTGTACTCATGAGATAAGGCATTTGACTTTTATTTGTTCGAATTGTGCAGCTGAAACGAACACCGTCCTTAATGCTGTTGCTGATTCTGACGCTGTGGCTTTCCAGCAGTCACTGTTTCGCCCAGGAGGAACCAAAGGCAGCCTCAAGTTGTTGCAGTGCGTGCTTCCAAGGTCAGGCCGGAGCACCAGGCATCCCTGGGATTCCTGGAAGTCCTGGAGGTCAAGGACCTCTTGGCCCTAGAGGTGACCCCGGCATTGGCCTGCCTGGACTCAAGGGGGACACCGGCGACCATGGACAGAAGGGAGACCAAGGTGAGCCAGGGATAAAAGGACTACCAGGAAAGCTGGGACCTGCGGGTCGAAAGGGAGATATCGGTGAGGGGCAGAAAGGTGACCAAGGGGAGCCAGGAATACAGGGACCACCTGGTGAAAAGGGGCAAAAGGGTCAGCCAGGACATGCTACTCTGGTTACACCTAAACCGCCCTCTGCCATTGCATTCAGCGCTTACCGCACGTCCAGTTTCACAGGTAATGGTGGAGATGTCATCATCTTTGACAACATCGAAACAAATCTCGGCGACGGGTATAGTTCGCAATCAGGCGTGTTCTCTTGCTCGGTACCTGGTACCTATCTTTTAACAGTTAGTTGTTTGCGTCTGCGAACAGGTGTACGACTTTATGTTAAGTTGAAAAAGAACGGAGAGGTTATTTTTGCACTCTATGATAATCATGCAAATTATCATCACCAGGCTAGTAATTCAGCAGTCATTGTTCTGGCCTCGGAGGACAGGATCTGGGTTGAGATTGGCGGTGATAACAGTGGCATTTATAGTGATGGCGGCAGATATGCATATTTCTCTGGTTTTCTAATAAATGCAATGTAGCGCATCTCTGAACAAACCCAATGCCTTTAGTTTATCGAAGACCCAGCCTGTGTAAATAAACTAAGGCATAGTTTTGATAGTTTCTGGGAATTAATATTATCCATATTGTTAGCCTAATAGCAAACCCTTTTGAACGTAAATTCCGAAATTATTATCAGATCTTTTGAAGAGGGGTTAGGCCTAGAGTCATCTCAAATCTCGTCCAGGACAAGTTGTGGTAAAATTGTGGGGAGAGTGAATACTTTCCCCACAATTTCCCCGCAAGTAGCAGTTTATTTATTGAGGGAAAGTTGTGGAGGAATTTTGCATTAGTAGGTCACTTACTGTGAAGGACTGTTTACATTACCAGTGGGCTTGTAATAGGTGGTTACTGTCTTAAGTGGTTTGCAGTTTCCAGAGACTGACCTTGGGTAACTCAACACACCATTATTTCTTGGTTATGTGTTCAACACCTGCTTTAGACTGAATCAGATGGTTGTTTGGAAAACTTACAGACTTTGTCAGTCCCTCTGCTTATTTTGCTTCGTTTGCTTGTCAAATGTACAAGTTGTGTTACCTTTGCCCCATGTACCTCCATATATCTAGAAGTGTTTACTACAATATTTTGGTTCCCTAGCCCGAATTGTCCAATCATAATTGTAATTACATATCTTCAGTATTTCACATCAAGAGATAATAAAATGCAAAGCAACAATATGGTTTAACTTTCCGTATTTTATGCCATGGTTTTTTGGCTAAAAAAACAAGATATTACAGGAAGATTTATTGAAATACAGGGCCTGTACCCAATCTCTTCTTGTTGATGTCTTTTGTGCAGTAACATGCCATATTACATACAATAAAGTATGTGCCTGGAGTAAGACCATAGCTTTCCAGGAGAAGAAAAACCTGACGCAGCTTTACATTTTATGAAAAGGGTTGATGTATATTTATTCCAAATGATACAGTTAGAGAAGTTTCAAAAAGCTTGGAGTAAGGAGTGCAGTCCTTTGCCTGTGGCTTGTCTGTCATCAGAACCACAAGTGTCCTTGAGTGGCCTGCCTGACCAAAACCGCAGAGTGGGAAGACGGAGACTGTGTATACAAATACTGATAGCTTTATTTTGGAAAGATTGTGGGGAGATTTCCAGTAGCCTTCAACATTCCACCGCAACACTCTTCCACAGTTTATCCTCAACTTATCCCGGACGAGATTTTAGATGACTCCTTATGGAAAGAGTCTAGGACCCTTCATTTGCCCCATAGAACAATGCTTTGGTCAAGTCCATCACAAGTCCTTTGCAAAGTCCCTCAGCAAGTCCAGTCCCAATATAAGTAATAGGTATGCGTTTGTGAAAGATTATTTGAAGAGCTTGTGACTTAGCTTTTTAAGACTGACTGACCTGCACTGTGATGGACTCGAATAGAACATTGCCGTAGAGTCACACAAAATTATGCACGTCTATTTCGATTTAGAATTTTACATCAAAAGTCACGGTAGTTTAAGATATCTGGGGTCATTGATACAATTTCCTGTTAGGATTAACGTCATCAGATGAGCCTAAACACGCTCACCGACATTGCGCAAAGAAATTTCGTCCCTACAAAATCGGCAAGTGAGCAACATTTTGAGCATTGTCAACCAGCCCCGCGATTAATTGCTGCTCCCAAGAGGCATTTCGCTTCACTTCGTTGCATTATAAACTAGTTGCATCGGGACACTCGTTTCATTAAGAAAACTAGTTTCACTTTCACTCAAAGAAAATTACTCTGGTCTATCTAATATAATTGCAAACAGTGTACACATGGAAATGTTCTTATTACCAAAAATGGGTCACTTTGGAGGCATTCCCGTAGGAACGTGCACACAATTTTTCAAACTTTACCGTCCCATAATTCAATATTCCCCAATCCGATCTTAACCAAACTTTGCATGTTTTCCTTTCAGACCCTAATCTATCATCTCTCAAAATGTGGACGCTAACAATTTTCTTCCTTTTGGTAGTTGGAGCGTTAGGGAGACATTGAAATATCTCCCTAATGACCGATGTCTCCCTAATGTTAAAAAATTTTCCACAATATGTCTCCCAAGTGATCTGCTTGGAAATATTTCTTTAATTAAAATCAACCTAGTTATGATGTCTTGACTAATGCAAGAGGACTGATAGTTTTTAAATTTGAAAGGTATTTTATAATGTAACGATCTGGTTTGTTGTTTGGGCGTGATACGTCAGTATCGGAAAATTAAAAACTTCAGGTGGCTGTCAATAGTTTCAAACACTACCTATGGACGTTTGATGTATCAACTACAGTTCAGTTAAAAATAATTTTAGCATGTGTGGGATATACTCTTGTAGCGGGTCAGTGAACAGGTTTAAATCATGTTTTGTCCTTCTAACATTAGTATTTACGGCAAAACACAAACAAAATCGAGTTCATGCAACACTAATTGGGAAAGCGAGAAAGGAGAAGGACGTTTCTCCTTGTGCATGGTGGTAAACTCAGAAACAGCGAAACGACAACTTTTGCTTTTCCACGTTTTTGTTCGCAGAAGTATAGTTCATAGGACATCAATCCATGTCTGGCTCACCAGGGTCGATTGGTATAGGTTGGATGCTGTTTCATTTCTTATAAATCATTTTCGGGATGTACTTTACAGTACACAATGGCAGGAAACGCACACAAAAAATTTAAACATAGACACAGAAAAAACTGACCTTACAATATTTAACCCACCCCACTGGATTCCGAAACGACTGGTACGTTTTTATGCCGGTGATAAACTGACTGTTGAAAACATCTTCGTTCGATACAGTGAATGACTTAAAATTACTTGAAAGTTTCTCTTCAATTGCTTAGTCACCATAGAATGTCGTTTTAAAAATATGAATTGAAAAAAACTACTGAATACACTTTAACTAACTGAAAAATAGTTTAGACCCAGCGCTTTTCTTTTCACGAAGAAGATAAAGGTAGATGCGATTTAGCAGCAAAGTTTTATGCTTCAAAATAAATTAATTTCCGAGGTACGGGTGATGTGTCATCAGAGTCCCATGAGCTGGACCAAGTTGTGATTTGACTGATTGTCCCTTCTACAGCATGGTGTTGCTGTGGCTGTGGGTCCAGAAATTTGGCAAGCTTCCCAAACAGGTGGCGATCGTAACTGATAAGGGCTTATCCTAGGGTTAATCCCATGTACATGTTGCTTACCGCCAGCCGCGTACGTGAGCAAATATGGGCTGATTGGTGGTGCAAGGCAAATCATTTCCTGCACACTAGAATCAGCGAATCCTAGATTTACTTCAGGCTCGTGACAAATGTGCCACTGAAGGATTGTGTACAAAATCCCTCATTCGGTTACCTCTCAGAGCTCTGTTGGCCTCTCACAACCCTCCAATGTGTTAATTTGCATTATGTTTCCTCTGTTTTTTTCTGACTGCTTTGAGTGAATAGTGGAAGAAGTGTTGAATAAACCAGCCACTTTTGTGTTAAATGGCACATAAACGTCGCCGTCTAAAGGCTGTTCATTCGTTGTGATTACTCCCAATAAATCATGAGATATTAGCCTCATTATGTTAGAGCTTTTGTTGCTCCATATTACAGGCAACGCTATGTGCCTTGAGCAGAAGCACCCCCCTCATCAGTTAAAAAGAGCCATATTGATCAGGAGTATTTAATTTGTTGGTACCGATGCGTAGTCGTTCGCGAACCAGCGAAGTTCAGTTTGGACCAAGGTCGCCTGCGTTGGGAAGAAAATTGCACCCTCTCATGGCTCAGCCCGAGGTTCATACTTGCAACCCCAAACATACGTCCAATACGTGCCGTCCACTCTATACCCTTCAGAGGAGGGAACTATGGACCTTTCCAATAACAATACAAATCTTCTTGCGCGCACAGCTATGAGCACATACAAACCCCTTTCTGTTCCAGCAGTTCGATGTGAGCGCCAAATTTAAAGACAAGGAATTGTTGCTTTTCCACCTCAGGACACTGAAAACTTCACTTAGTTTCGAGAAAATTGTGTTGAAGTATCGGGCAAAGGCTGTAATAGAGACTCGATTTACATTCAACAGGCCAGGTTATGGTTACAAAAGCTCTCTTACACTGTTTTCTCTCATTACACAATGAAATGTCTGTAAACTCATCTCTTAGCAGCAGAGCTGTAATCAAGTCATTTTTTTCCCAAGTCAAGTCAAGCCCCAAGTCAAATTTCACCAAGTCAAGTCTCAAGTAATTTTTTTTCAAGTCAAGTCACGTCTCAAGTCAAATTTTGAAAGCACTGCACATCAAAAAGAAAGTGACACACATTGCTATAATTTTTTCATTATATTACATATACATGTATTTATTGGCTTGCCTATGAATTGAGGTCACATGACACCCTAAATGGCACAGATAAAGAATGCTTCAGCTCACGTCATCAGAGGATGGTTAATGACTATGACATGTTTAAAATTGATCAGATTAAAAACATGTAATTGCCAAAGTGACTTGTAAAATGAAAATAAGTAAAAAGTCCATGGAAAAAGCTAAATATTTATGATGCCACAACATAAACCATAACATGCCATAACATAGTAATTCAATATAATTATCTATGAAACCAATGTAAAACCCTATCATCTTTGTAAATTGCACCGCCGGGGCAAGAATTTGAAAGCGACGTAAGGAGAATTTAATAATGAATTCCATACTTTCTAAAATAACACCCCGATCATTTTTTGTCGACAACTTCTTTGGCACTCAAATATTAAAAAAACATTCTTCATTTCCCTCAAAGTGATTGTTCCTAGCGGCAATTGACAGAGCGTTTTTGCTTGATGCAGCGTGAATTCCTTTTTGCTAATGGAGGATTTTAGGTAGTAGTTGTATTCCAGTCGGTTTATTCCTGAGTGTTGAATTTAGCGTGGTTTGAGTTTGCCCGCAGCCTGCGACAGTATGCAGCCTGTGGGCTCTATGGAACGACCGCTCTCCAATAACGAATTGTAATCAGACTATGCAGTGCTCCTCACAGCTCACAAGCACGGTACGGATGGGGTGTACATGTACATTGTAATGTACGTACGAGTGTATTCTGAACACGAGCACCGATGCACGGATGAAGAATGCCGTGAATATGTTTTCGTGAGTGAGATGAACGCACACATCACCGAGGTTCGGGATTTTTTTTAATCATATTTTTAAAGAAATGGTTTTATACAACGAGTCATTTTTTTTCAAGTGAAGTCAAGTGTCCAGTCATTTTCTTTTGAAGTCAAGTCAACTCTTGAGTCATTTTTTTTTCAAGTCAAGTCAAGTCGCAAATCTGAAGAATAGCGACTCGAGTCCGACTCGAGTCCGAGTCAGCGACTCAAGTCAACAACACTGCTGAGCAAAGAGACGCTGGTGTTCGTTCCTCGCCTTTTATTCTTTATGCTTAATTACAAATTATGATATGTTCTGTAAACTTTTAAACCTCTTTGCAGGGTTGGCCTGTATCAAATTCTATTCTGGAAAGTTTACATTAACGGCTCATTGTATAATAAGTCGTTTAATATTGGTCTTTATCATGGAAACGTTCTCTAAATTAATCCATACTGAAATTATCGATTGTTACAGTACTTCAATCTGTATACGCCGGTCTTGAATGCAAAATATACAGTTTCTCTCTCGTGCCGTCTTTGATTTTAAAAACAAGATATGATATCATTTGGCGAGCAACACTGTGCATCCTGTTTTCTTCTGATGACATGTCATTTTCTTTATTCTAGAATCACTTCATCGGTGGACGCGATGTCCAGGAAAAATCAGAGATAAAAATTTCAAAAATGCTCTGGAAAGCTGTTTCCCAAAACGGTCAACGCTCTCCGTCGTGCTGGTACCGGACCCTCCAATTTTATTGTGTTGATTTTAACGTGGGTCTATGGGTTTACTAGCTAGAATTGACCGTCTTTAAAACCCCCGTCCTGTCATTATTAATTTATACCACCCGCGTCGATTGACCAATCAGGACCCTCACGACATGTGTTATTCTAATTTATAAGACAATAATTTCTCGTTGGACTACGAACTCACGGACGCATATAAAAAAAACCTGGACTTGCAACGCCTTTGTATGAAAAAGAAGCCAACCAGCGGCCATTTTACCCAGCCGAATACAAATGCGTGGGTTGGCTCCCTTCTATTGACGTCAGGAAGAACAAAGGCGGGCATTGCCAGGAAAGCTTTGTATTCGGCTCGGTAAAATGGCCGCGAATGGATTCAATGACTCTATAACCTGATTAAGGGCATTGCGAGTCTAGATTTTATTAAACACGTCCATGTACTAACCACGGGAAAAGTAAATTCTGATAAGGCCATCCAGCAACCCAATGTGAAGTATTTACTACATCACGGGTAGCAGTCACGTCACGTTGGAGGGTTTAGATAAGTACGAGGCCCAGCTTTCAAGAGAACTGTTTCGGTCTTCCTTTTAGAATTTCCAAGTTGTCTTCCTTTCTTCATTGGGTCACTTATATTGAACAGTGATCCAGGACACTAGCAGCAAAATGTCTCCATGGCCTTACTTCGTTCCTTACGGTGTTTTCAGTTTGAAGGCCCGAACCTTTCGTCTCAAAAGTACTGCTGCTTTGAGGCCTGAACATTCCATCTTTGTTTCACCAGCCCGAAGGACACTCTGCCGGCAAGGAGCCTCTCTCTCTGTCTTCGTCCTTGTGCTTTCATGTAACCCGTCACGACAAAATAAGCGTGAAGTTGCATTCCGCTCTTTACGTTTTTTAACGGTTCAAAGTCCGAGTTTGAAGTGGAGGCAAATATTGGGGTTTTGTAATATTGTAAAGAGTAACCAGTCTCCTATTTAAGTCCAAATAATATGCCAGTTTTGATGACAGTATTATTCGTGCCTGGTCAGAAATGGTGAAAGAATATCTGAAACAAAGACGCAAAGCTGCCAGAATAATGTCACATTGTCATCATATACCGTTACCCTTAGCTTTTTCTGCAAACTGAAAAAAAACTGCACAAAATCTTGAGGATCTCATTCTTTTTTTAGATTCCGAATCGAGCGAATATTTAATAATATTAAATAAGGAGCGAATAATTTTGTTACATACGCAATACAATCTCTAGGATTGGGAGAATTTTTAAAGTTCGAAATTCTCTAAAAATAGAACAAAAACTTTACAATTTGAACATTTTTGTCGAAATTTTGACTTTTTTACAACGTAACGGCTTATGTATTTTACGGAAATCTCATTTTATCTGAATTAAGAAATCATCTTAATTGAGAAATCATTTGATCTGAGAAAGAATTGACAACGCATCCAAAGCTGCGTATACAAACTACTCGATCTTTTAGCCGGTATTCTGCGAAAATCTTATAGTGCTTCAAGTATATTTTTTGAAAAAGTTAAGCATATTTTTCTAACGTATTTTTCCAAGATTGTTTTAACAAGGTTTTCACAAGTTGCTTTTTTAATTCGTGGTTGCTGATAAATTTGGATTTATGTTATTTAGATGCTCTTTCACTTTTACTTTCGCTTTCATTTGGATGGCATGAGATTTGTTGTAAACTACATCCACAGAATTGCTGCTTTACGCTGAAAAAGTGTTCCGATTTTCAAAATATGTTCAGTCTATTCTGTTCACAATATTTTTTTTCAGTCTGAAAAAAGTTGGGACTTTAAAAATTCACTCCCTTTCAGGGGGTTTGTAAAAAGTTAACGTTCTTTTAAAATTCCTTGGAATCTAGAAAATATGCTGCATCAATGAAAAAATGCTTTCCATTAATCAAAACATCTTCCAATCTTTTCGACCGTAGTTCTGCTTCGTAATTGGGGAGTACTCCGACCGATGTAACATAGACATCGACAGTTCACAAAATTCTTAGTACAGACGCAGCCGGAAATCCCCGAATATTGCTGATACAATCCGAATGGTCTTTTTCTTTTCCCTTTACCCTTGGCTACCAATTTTATTTCTTTGTAACAGTTTTTACAATTTTGAGGAGCATTAAAGAAAAGGTGTTGACGTTAAACTTAATTTAATATGGACTGGATAAGTTCGGAATAGTTGGACTATTCCCTGAAATCTCGGGGAGTGTTGGTCATGTGGACATTAGGAGATAGGCCTACAGGATCCTTGATTTTGTTTTGTGCAGTTTTTTCAAAGATTTCTACTAAACTTCTGAAGCACAAACTTTTTAAAAATGACACACCTTTAAAGCACATTTAATTTAAAACTAAAATGCAATCAAGTTAACAAAAACATGTTCAAAATTGTTGACCCTAATTCTACTTTGTAGTGGATGGTGTACTCCAGCCGGTATACCACGGACAGTTCACAATTTTGGGGGGAAATTCCCGAATATTAACGATACCATCTTCCCTCTTTCATTTGGCTACCAATTTAATCTTTGTTACAATGTTTCTCAGTTTTGAGGAGCATTAAAGAAAAAGTTTTGAAATTAAACTTAATTTAATATGCACACAATAAGTCGGAATAGTCCCAAAAATCTGGGGGAGTATTGGTCACGTGGACGTGGGGTGATGCAGGACCTTTGATAAAAAGAGTAGTCGGAATCTTTGAGTCTGGTATCCAGACTGAGTCTTAATATGCAGCAAGTTGAACTAGTTTTAGCTAACTCACCGGGGCAAGACAGTAACTCGCCGCAGCGAGACAGTAAGTCGCCGCGGCGAGATAGTATCTTGAAATTTTTTTTCGCAAGTGGCCCTTATACGCTTCCGTATCCTCGGTAGTCGTGGGGTTAAACAACACTTTTCTAATTGAGGCCTTATCGTCAATAGGTGTCAAAATCGACTTAAGGCCTGATCTTCGAAGGGTCTTGGTTAACCCTAGGGCCTGGCTTCGCACAATCGTGTGAACAGATGACTGTTTTACTTCTTGTTGCTTGGATATGCCCTTTAAAAATGTCCTGTTGTTAGCATAAAGAGGAAATAGAACCGAAGGAGGAAACCTAGACCCTTTTAAAAAGGCTTGAGTGAAATTTTAAATTAAGTCATCAAATCTGAAAAGATTTTCAGAAATGTCTGATAAAAATCAAGGACAATGGTTAACACTGTTAGGCCTATAGGAATGGAGAATGGAGATTGGAGAGAAAAGAGGTCTACATTAAAATCAACTATATTCTGCTCAACTGTAGGCAGGAAATTCCAAAACGCTGCACTCTTGACAGCATTTTTGAGATTGGACTCGGGTATGGTGTGCGCACCGAACGTTTAGTTCAAAGTGTATTTCTTTTTTGTCCTTTTAATATTTCCCTACAGTTTTACCAATATCTCTTTGAGAAGAAAAACTCAGGGATATCTTTCTAATAGATAGCTCTCTATCTCATATAGATACGTCTCTATGTTGAACTCACATCATGCGTTTCACCTTTCATATTTAACTACATCTCTATTTCGCACTGGATTAATTTGGCTCTCCATACGCGAGTGTATCCTGAAAAGAACTATATATGGTAATATATGTACCAAGAATTTTCCAACTGACGCAATATCAAATCAGATATGCAGTTAACTCCAACGGGCGGAAGTCTCATTTTATTGCAGGAGGTCGTCTCGACAAATCTGCATGCAAGAAAGCAAATTGCAAAGACAACATTTATATTGATAGACAGAGTAAAAGTCGGCATCTCTGCCTTGGTGTTTCTTCCTGAATATTTTGAAGTCGGTTTTCTCGCGTTGTTGGAGCTGTAAGCTTGAAGGAGCAATGATGATGGCGTTACTGGTAAGAAAGTTTATTGTACTGACTGCATAGTTTGTCATTAAATCTCGGCGTGCCATCCATTTTTTTTCATGTGTCCTATCATATTAATGGTGTTTCATATGAATAATTGGCAAAAGTTATATAACCCGAGAGAGTTGATGTCGCAACATCAGATGCTGGCCACCCCAATGCATGTTCTGGCAAAATAAGGAGCCTGTGTAACGCCCGTTCACCACCAAAATGAAGCACTAGAAAGGCCATCAAATAAAGAAAAACGTATACCAGGGCATTCTCGTTCGTTTTAAACACTGGTACTGCATGATGACAAAGTCAACTGTGACAGGGGGTGTGTGTGTGTGACAACTTCATGCACGATTTCAATCGTGACGTTTTTTATTGATTTTTGGATGACATTCGAGGGGGACTCGAGCTGTATCCAGTTTTTCCAGGCACAATGAAAGCAAGTATAGTAGCTCGCAATTTTCCGTTCTTGACTTGTTAAAGCGCTTTTGATATAATAACAAGGAGCAACACTTCCCAAATAATGGGTAACAATCCACACTGTTTTAAGACGAAACGGAGAAGCAAAACCATCCAGATCGATTGTCTTTGGTCTTCTATGGATACCAAGAAAATGCCGATCAGCGTTGTGTTGTTTCATTCACATCAAGGTTCCGGGATCATGAGAAAGCAACACCAAAGAAGAAATACGACAAGAACTATACTCAAGTCTAAAAAATTTATTAACTCAAAAATTTACATCTCGACGAGAACTGTACTCAAGTCTAAATAATTTATTAATTCCAAAACTCACATATCGACGAGAACTGTGCTCAGGTCTAAATAATTTATTAATTCCAAAACTCACATATCGACAAGAACTGTACTCAGGTCTAAATAATGTATTATCCTCAGAACTCACATCTCAACAAGAACTGTACTCAGGTCTAAATAATTCATTAACTTCAAAACTCACAGTTTAAAGAACATAATAATATAGAAATGAATCGTACTAGGTGGGCACTGTCGACGGTTCCCTCCGACCAACTACGCTCAGCACAGCACATGACCGAAATATAGAGATATTTTAAGTAATCTAACATTTGAATAGGCAGTTCCGCCTTGCTGGTGTATTAAAAAACGTAAAGAATGTTTCATAACAGTAGTTTCATGTGTGCAAAGTAAATCGCTGTAGGCCATTACTCCCGTATTTCTGTTTCCTATGGAATTCCATATCTGCCGTCTTGCGTCGTCCGTCGTGAGTCGCCCGTCGTGCGTCGCCCGTCGTCCTTTTTTTTGGGTCATGATTGTGCAGTGGTATGTTTAACTTTGACCCTTGATTGTTTCACATGTCCATGTACTTGTGTATTCGTTTTTGCAGTTACGCCAAACTCCACTTGAAAGAAAAAAATAATATGCTTTCATTTTTAAAGACGGACATCGGTAAAGTGACTTGTGTATGAAATAATACCATTTTTGTTACATAAATAAATTAATAAAATAGACTATTGTTAGGGTAGATTGTGTTTCTCGATAACTTAGTTATTCTAGACGTAACTTTACTCGTTAACGGTCTGAAGTTAGGTCTATAGCCTATTTAATATTTCTGTCTGACCCTGCACGATATCCCACAGAACGGAATGTAAATAATAGATTATTTACAATGTTTGATTCCTTAATAGTTTTCATAAGAGACGAACTGATTCAACATTATTTTGAGGGCGGGTATACCTGTGATGAAATCTGCTGTATACTCCAATTTAAGCATGACTTGAGTTGCAGCTTGGCTCATAGAAGTCTTTTAAACATTAAAGTTACTTGTTAGCCCTATAAATAATTCTGATATGCTGGAAAACCTGTTGTCATTGGTTTATCCACCATTGCATACACACCCACAAAAACAATCACGTCACATTTTCTGAAACTTAAACCAAGTGGTAATTGCCCCCAACAATACATTTAATAAACAGTTTGTTATCCACAGCACTGTCTAGTATTTCTGGATTTCAAGGTGAAATTGAGAGGACAAAATGGAATATCTGTATCGGTTGAAAGATTCCTTTCTGGAATTTGATGAAAACAAGTCGGCACATTTGTACAGCATGCAAATTGCAATAAGACTGTGGATAAGTTGGTCTGAACATTTTTGCTCAAAATGTTTTCCCCAAAAAAACACTTGGATGAATTCTCAGAAAGGCGATATTTTCTTGTCAAGGGGCAGAGGGGTAGTCTACTATTATTAGCATTAATTATGGGACCAATATATGCTTTGCAGGTGGGATTTGTACTTGTCTATTAGGAAAAGATCCTTAGAAGTGAATGTAATCATCACATTGTCATCTGTTAAACCCCAGCTTTTTCAGGTCCGATGCAACCCACTTGATGGACGACGCACGACGGGCGACGGCAGATATGGAATTCCATACTTCCCAGTATTGTCCTGCTTTTAATTCCACTCCATGTTATACGCAATAGTTCAGCACCGTTTTCCAAGAGTCTACTTTCGTAACTCAGAAGCATGACCCGTAAATACATTGTGTTCTCGAACCCTCTATCAAAGTGAACGTTGTTTAATGATGAAATTACGAACACTGCTACGAAAAATCAGCTGGTGATAAACGGGATTTCCAGCCTGTATGAAAATATGTTTCCCTTTGACATTTGAAATCGCCCCATTTTATTTCAAAGTTTGGTCACCACATTCAACGCTGTCGATGAGGAATATTGTGGCTGAATAGTTAATACTCAACGATAAAAAAACTGTCAAATATTGAGCACATTAAATCACCCCAAGCTACTTGAAAACGGTTTTAATTCTTTTTAGTAAATTTTACTAATTTTTGTCCATAATACTGAGTGCATTCGCAACTTTGAGTTTTTAGAATTATCACGAAGTATGAATTGTTCATTCAGCCGACTGCAGCTAAGCTACGCACTGAACTGATGATTTATAATAACCGCACTATCCTGCGTTTGCATGAGCTTTGTCATTTTTTCTTTTATTCGATTACCGTGGGTTTAACATCGTCCCCTGCACCGTCTGTCTTGTTTGCACAACACATCCAACCGCACCCAGGTCAGGGCTGCTCGTTGTAAGCTAATCGAACGCACCCTAAAGAAGAATTGCTTTCTTCAAAATGACAGCTTGCCGTAAAGACTAATTTCACAGATACGTCCAGTAGCCGTCCTTAAAAGCAAGTAACGTTTCAATACTAATTTCTTCAAGCATTTTATTTTCAGATTCCATTCAATCCTTGCAATTCCACCTAATGAATACTTTGGTATGATGAATGCTTGAATTAAGGTAGCTTTAGAGGGAATATGCACACTGCCGATTTTTTCTAATTATGGATGAGATGCAAGGAAATGCACTGTAAAACCCAAGCGTTTAAATTCAAAACGTAAAATAATCACAAATCTGTAACACTTTTTGACACGTTATAAATCAACACATATGACATGTTTATAAGCTGAGCACACTATTTTATTTAATAAACTCAATAAACGTATATTTATGATTAAAAATATCAATGTGCTTAACTTAATTTACGTCAGGTTTTTAAACACTTTTTTAATCATAAACCGGTTAGTGTATTTATTACTTAAACACCTAAACATCTGCACAGGCTGTAACACCTTTTAAATACTTTGGCATGTTTATAAAGGGTTTATTAAAGGACCCAAAAATGGATTTTTTTAGAATCACTTTTTTTGTATCCCTGCACTCTTCTTTTATGTACGAAGACTGTTTGACATCTTTAATGAATTGAGTGAACTGAACGGTGCACTTTTTGCAATATTAAAAATTGACCAAGCATTTCTGGAGAAGCTTTTGCTTTGATGTAAATCCGGGAAGACATGGTTCAGGTTGCATGTTTTCATGTTCAAATTGTGAACCCTAAATTTGCTACCTGGGAACATTTTTGCTGAATTATTGCCATATAGTTACACAGCAATAACTTGCCAAAGAAAATAAAATCTGCCATAGCAGTGGTTAAAAAAATCTTTAAATTTTTTGTGCACAAATCAATGCAACATTGGGATTCAGTGCCTTGGATGAAATTATAATTTTGCTCATGAATATGCAAATAGCATTAGCATAAAACAACAAAAAATCAAAATATGGGTTAAAATTGCAAAACAAAAATTTAATATAAGGTTAAATGAAACTCAAAGATGCAATTTAAAGGGTTTTAGTAAAGTAAAATGTTTAAAAATACATGTATTTCTATCTCCTGGTTCCTTTAATTGCATATTATTGGGTAACAATGGTATACACGTGTTCAAGTCAGACGCAGTGATGTGAAGAGTGGCAAGCCAACTGCTATAACTTAACACTAGCAAAAATGGTTAAACCACAGCTGACAGACCTTATTTTTTTTCAGAAAATTATCACCCATCCGAGATCCTAAATGTCTATTCCCGTTATATGCACGAACCTGTGTAAGAAACGAATAAATGCAATTCTGATCAGTTTGATTTCTCTACATTTGCAACTAACAACAGCCAGCTGGCGTGAAGGGGGTGACGTGGAAAGAGATCGGAGTGCACATGCACGTGCTTGTACACACTGTGCATGTGCGTAGTCGTGTCTTAAACGCCGGGCGGTGCAAGTGTATGTATAGTCTAAACGCGGTGTTTATTTTTGATTTGATAATCAAGCGACATTCCACTCTGCATCCATATATTAAACTTTATATTACCTAAAAATAATCACTTACAACATGAGATTTGAATGTCATCGGCACTAAAGAGTACTGACAGAAAATATTGAAATTCACCTATAAGGCCGGTAAAAACAGACTTTAATGTCCCGATGATAAACAGTTTGCATGCTAAACCCGTTCAAGTTTAAACGCACAGCGTGTTCATATGTAATGTGTTTAGTTTTACAGTGTGCTTAAGCAGACACAAGACTAACTGATAAATAGTATTTAAATAAACGACTTTCGTCGAACACATTCTCTGAATATTGAAACAACAGAGAATTCCTAATTCAGTGAATCAGAAAGAAAAATAAAATAAAATGTTTGAAGCAGCTAAGAAAGGAACATGTACAGCAAGATTATTGAAATTATAACAATTTAAAGCAATAAGAATGGAAGTGGTCATTAAAAAAACCTTTAATTAAAATGTGAACCATGACAAATGCTGGTTCATATATTATCCTACACCATAATATCGAGCACAAAGCAGAATAACACGTGGTTCAAAATTGCACAAACATTTTGGTATTTTGAAAGGAATGAAATTGCAAGCAGCTAGGGATGGATTGAGACATAGTTTCTCCGTTTCTTTACGTACCTTATTTATTTGGATAGTTTATCGTTCAGAAAAAGTAAACTCAAAACTTAGTGTGTTTCACTTTTATTTGTTCGACATACAGGTGAAACAAAGAACATCCTTGATGCTTTCGATGATCCTGACGCTGTGGCTCTCCAGCAGTCACTTTGTCGCCCAGGAAGAATTAAAAGGGGCTTCAGGTTGCTGTGGTACCTGCTTGCAAGGACCAGCTGGAACACCTGGCGTCCCTGGGATCCCTGGGAATTCAGGAGGGCAAGGACCTATTGGCCCCAGAGGTGACCCTGGCATTGGCCTGCCTGGACCCAAGGGGGAAACTGGCGACCAGGGACTGAAGGGAAACAAAGGCGAACGGGGGATACAGGGACTTCCAGGGAAGTTGGGACCTGCGGGTCGAAAGGGAGACATCGGTGAGGGGCAGAGAGGTGACCAGGGGCAGCAAGGAGTCCAAGGACCACCTGGTGAAAAGGGGCAAAAGGGTCAATCAGGAGATTCTACCATGGTTACACCAACACTGCCCTCTGCTGTTGCATTCAGTGCTTACCGTACAACCCAAGTCACAGGCAATGGTGATGTCATCATTTTTGATAACATCGAAACGAATCTCGGCGATGGGTATAATTCGCAATCTGGGGTGTTTACATGCTCAATGCCGGGGGCGTACTTCTTCACAACCAGCTTACATAGGATTGCCTCCACAGTGCGTCCTCACGTTCAGTTGAAAAAGAACGGCCGGCTTGTCTTTTCAATTTATGATACAGGTGACAACAATTACCATCAGTCTAGCAACTCAGCTGTTATTAATCTGGCTTTGGGAGATAGAGTTTGGCTTGAGTTTGGCAGTAATAACAGAGGAATTTACAGTGATGCTAACAGGTATTCGTTTTTCTCTGGCTTTTTAATTTTTCCAGTGTAAAGCAATATTGGAAAGGGGCCACTGTCCTTGTTACTGAAAGCACGTATGATACAGTGATCAAAGCCTGCTTCTTTAAGAGTTAATTGAGATGGATAATCATGAAGTGTATGTACTATTGTACAAAAAAATCAAGGGAATATTTGGAAGTTAAGTAATCTCATATTTTTCTTCTTTAGGAAGAGCTTTCTTGCCGTGGCTTTCTCATCTCCTGAAAAATTACCCATGCAAATCTACGATGTTGAAAATTGTGTTAGATGAGAAAGGTCATGCAAACAGCTTTTTCATCGTCTGTGGCTGCAGGATGGAATTACGCGTTCAGCAAGAGCTACCTTATTATGTTTTGCTCACCTGACGTCACTCTCTACAGATTGCCATTAGCACTGATATTTTGGACATCAATATTCCGTGGCGAGAATTCGCGGGGCCGTACTTCGAACACATTTGGTATTTGGATTAACACGCAATTAAAGTGCTGAATATTCTGCACGCTACGCGCAAAAGTACCAAAAATGCTGAATGCGCAGTTTAAATTTTCTTACTAAGGGATGGTGGTGGGAGAGATCCTTACCTCTGTAAAAGGCCCAAAGCTCACATTAAGAACTTTTATTTTTATATTTGTTACTTGTATTTATTTGGCCTCCTTAAAAAAAAACAGCCTCTCCCTTTCCGAATAATTCATTCTTTATACACCCTACTACATGTAGAAGAACTCCAAGTCACTACTCCGTGTGACTTGAAGCCATTTTGATCCTTTAACGGAAATTCCGCCGTTTCTTGCCCCACCATGCTCGCTCTGCTCAGCTAATTTGATCAGTTTTTTGTCGTGCACCACCGAATCCTTGTCCTTTTTAGAATGGAAAGGGCGTTGGCTTGGTCGTCAAGTGCTTCGCTTAACAGTTTACTGATGGACTGGTTGAATTCAAATTGGTGCTTATTCCCATTTCGTTCCATTTGAATTCAGTTACTGAGGAGAGCTTTCGTTGCACGGCTTGAATTGTCTTCTGATTCTCTTCATTGAACACCGCCTTCGTAGCTTTCTGTGTCAAAGAGTTCTGCAATTCCGCTTGACTCTGTGTGAAAGCTAGAAAGATTTCTTTGATTTTCTCTTTAGTTGCCGTCGATATGGTATCATTAGGGACGTGAGGCAAGTGGAGTAAAGCCGGAGAATAAAATATGTCTCCAGAAAGAGTTTCCAATCTTTTCGTTTTACAGTTCTGCACTAAAAAAACAACTCTTTACAATATGACAGACTACCCCCATAAATTTACTCTACTGCTTTGAAGGTCTGCCCTTTCTCTCGCTAAGCGTACTGCTGCCACCGCTCTGCGTAATTTATTATTTCAAAACTGTTTCAGTGATGACCCCAGTTTTGCAAATTATTCTAAAACGACGATCAGCCAAATTAAGGACCAGGGAACATCAAGTATATTTAACTGCTTAGGCACCATTTGATTTTAAAATATGAATAAAAAATGCTGAATATAATATAACTTACTCAAATTGTTTAGACCCAGAGTTTTTCCTTTTCACGAAGAAGTTTAAAGGTAGATCCCATTTCAGCTGCATAGTTAATGCTTTCGGAATAAATTTAATTTCCGAGGTACTGGTGATGAGTCATTATCAGAGTGCCACGAGATGAAGCCAAATTGTGATCCATATGAGTGGTTGTCCCTTTCTACAGCGTGGTTTTGCTGTGGCTTTGAGTCCAGAATTTGGGTCTAGATTTGCGTGCAATCGAAATTCGACCAGCTTTCCAAACAGGCGGTGATTCTAAGTGACTCTCTAGGGCTGGTATACGGTTTATCCTGGGGGTAATACTAATGTTGCTTACCGCCAGCCGCGTACGTGAGCAAATATGCGTGTGTATATGGTGCCTTGAGGGGTACCAGAACAATGGGAAGTACCCCAAAGGGTATTTGTGGGGTACGGTGAGACCCAGGAAGGTGAATTTTGTTGAAATGGGAGTGATTTGAATTTTTTTGCGTGTTGTGTTGGAGTTCTGTACACGAGAACAAAGGAAATAGCCCGCAAGTATGCCTGTGTAAGGTTGGGTTGGCTGATTAGTGGTACGATGCCAATCATTCCTGCACACTAGGATCGGCGAAATCTCGACCCTAGACTTGCATCAGGCTCTTGACAATTGTGCCACTGAAGATTTGTGCACAAAAAACCTTCATTTGGTTACTTTTCAGAGCTCGGTTGGCCTCTCCACAGTCCGCCAATATGTTAATTTGCATTATGTTTTCTCTGTTTTTAAATTTCTGTCTACTTTGAGTGAATAGTGGAAGGACTGCTGAATAACCCAGCCACTTTTGTGTTAAATGGCGCATAAACCAGAGTTGTCTAAAGGATGTTCATTAGTTGTGATCACTATTGTGACGGATAACGGATGTCCACACAATGAACTTGAATTGTGAGCTGGTGATCACGGATATGCTTAACACGCTGAACACGAATGAATCAACAACGGCAATTTGTTTATCTAATTAAATTTACGCAATATAACTAATCACAGAATAACAAACAATAAACAGGATGGATGATAATAACCTTGTGTATAGGTGTACATGTACATGACGCCTGATTATATGCAATAAACCCTATACCTGGACATGTGCTTACAATCGTAAGTTTGTAGATTGTCTCTACTTTTGTTGTATTTTATACCCAATTAAATACTCAAACTTATCCCAAAATACCCATAGAAAACCATTAGAGCCAATAAGGTAAATTTAAATAATGCATTCAATGAATCCCACTTACGACTTTGGGATGACGTGTGTCCTGAAACCAAATTGCATGGCGACTCATGAAGTAAGCTGAAATTTCTAGATAATGTGCCCACTGAACAGCGCCCTCTATTGACAAATGGCAACAAACAAATTAATATATCGATAAAAGAGCATTCTGACTTAACATCCCGACCCCTTAAATGTCATTACTTACTCAATGTGGCATTTACTAATTTCTTTAACCTCAGGCAGAATGTGACCGTTTCAACAAATTTGGGTGTTCTGTACCTTTAAGCAGTGTAACGTGGTTGTATGATCGAAACTGCGTTATCAGTTTGAAATTATGGAAAATTATAAAAAACCTAAAAACACTTCGTACTAGAACATTAGATTATGGCACAAGAAAAAATGTGATAAAGACCATACAATTTACTATTTTTTATCCACTGACTCTAAGAGACACAAGTTCTGCACTGGCCTACTCAGAATAGATGACCTGGTTTTGACTTTGACCACTCTTACAAGTTGATCCTTCCCTTGGTAAGTTTCAAGAACACGCCCAAGAAGCCATTTGTTCCTAGGGAGGTCATTGTCGACAATAAGTAACAAGTTGCCAACCATGGTGTTCCTTTTGGGTTCAAGCCATTTCTGCCTCTTCTGCAGCGTGGGGAGATATTCCCGGGTCCATCTTCTCCAAAATACACCAGCAACTTGAAGGTACTGTGCTTGCTTCCATCTTCTCCGAGCGTACATATCTTTCTGGTCGAATTTACCAAGCGAATATGATGTGCCACGAAGAAGTAGTAAGTGATTTGGCGTGAGTGGCTCCAAGTCGTTGATGTCGTCTGAAGCGGTGGTTATTGGCCTTTTGTTTATGATAGACTCAATTAGACACATTACAATTGACAAGGTTTATCACTCACTATCTGCTCTGTCATCAGTGTACTCAACAGCCCGCGTGTCGACCTTATTTGTCTTTCCCAGACGCCTCCCATATGGGAAGCGGTTGAGGGGTTGAACTTCCACTGGATTGCCTTCTTTAGGAGGAACTTGTCAACCTACCTTTGATTCTCAGCTTCCTTGAGCTCACGCTCCACCCCAATGAAGTTAGAACCATGGTCTGATATCATCTGTATTGGTTGTCCTCGTCGGCAGATAAAGCTTTGAATGCCGTTTATGAAGGAATCGGTGTCCAAAGTGTGCAGAATCTCAATATGCACTGCACGCGACGCTAGGCTTGTGAAAATGCAACCGTATTGTTTGATTTGATTTCTACCCTGTTTCACCAGGAATGGCCCGAAACAATCGACTCCGACAAATGAAAATGGTGGTCTGTCCGAGGTAAACCTGTCAGGTGGCAGGTCTGCCATCTTTTGCTTATTCGGAACTGCAGATCTTCGTCTACACTCGAAGCAGTTGCTCAAAACCTTACGTAGCATAGACCTGGCCTTGATTATCCAAAATTTTTGTCGTATCAGTGACAGAACATTCTCCCTCCCAGAATGACCAGATTCCAAATGGTAGTGCCTCATGATGAGCGAGACCACATGGTGGTTCTTAGGCAAGATAGGCGGATGATTTGATGTATCCCCTGGGGCATTCCTCAGGCGTCCTTCGACTTGATGATGCCGTCCTCTGTCAAGACTGGATCAAACCTGTACAGTTGACCTTTCCTCTTCACATCTGTCCTATGCTTATGCACTTTATCTTCACCCTTCTTCAATGGACTGAACTCCTCTTGAAATAACTGCCTTTGAACGTATCTTACAATAGCAGCCTCTGCCCTGGCTAGGTCGTTCGCTGTCAATGCCTTCCTGTCTTCTCCTAGTTCTTGATCTTCCTTAACAGATTGCCAGCTACTTGCAGGATCCATGCAACACTTCAATCAATCTGTTTCTCAGGTTTAACTTCTGGATCTTTATCCTCTAGAGTTGTCGAGATAGGTAGACTTGGCCACATGCTGTTGTCTTGGCGCAAGAATTCAGGACCAATCAACCAATTCTGTTTGGCCAGCAGCTCATCAGCGGTTTGTCCTCTTGTGATAACATCTGCCGGATTCATTCAGGTTTCCACGTGGTGCCACTGATTAGGACTTGACAGGTTCCGTATGACTGCTACTCTGTTCGCCACAAAGGTATGGAAACGCTTTTCTTCATTATTGATGTATCGAAGCACAAGAGTGTTATTGGTCCAGAAGACTGACTCTTCCAAAGGTAAGTCTAACTCCTTTTTGATCATTTCATTCAGTCTCACTGAGAGTGTCGCAGATGTCAGCTCAAGCCTTGGTATCGTAACTTTTTTAGAGGTGCCAGACGTGACTTTGATAATAGCAGAGTGACATGAGTGACTGTGTCCTCCAGAATTCTCCATGAGAAGGTAGGTTGCAGCCCCGTAGGCTGCCTCGGATGCATCAGAAAAATGGTGTAACTGATAGCTGATGCTGCCTTTGAACTCGTAGGGCTTGATGTACATCGTCCCAACCCAGCTTCCTCCTGCTTAAATCTTGAACAATCTTCTTGGCTAACAACGTGAAGAGACCAGCAAAACCATGTGGGTCATAAATGGAGGACACAATACTGAGCAACCCTTGCCTTTTCAACTGTTTCGGCCTCGACGTCCCACTGCACCCCCAAGGCCCTCTCTGTTGGTAGCGCTTCATAATTCAGGTCTAACTCTCTGACGCCTACAGCTCTTTCTTCTTGAGGAATTGACTCAAGGACTCGAGGGCTGTTGCTTAACCACTTTGTTAGTTGAAAACCGCCTCGGGACAGAAGTTCTCGTAACTCTCCACAAACCTGGATAGCCTCATCTTCAGTCACCAGTGAAACTAAGCAATCATCTACGTGAAAATTACGCATGACGCAACTGATTGTGTCCGGAAGGAAGTCTTGACGGTTGCCTCCGCTGTATGCCGTAAAGCAAACGAACAGCAACTGGGACTCCATGTCCCACCGAAAGGGTGTGCACTCATCCCGTGCACAGCCAGATCACGTAAGGTATCACCGACAGCCCACAAAAGGTAACGCAAGACATCTTTGCATTCCGGGGACACTCTGACCTGGTGAAACATGGCTCGAATGTCTGCCATTACAGCCACTTGCACTTGTCGGAAGCGCAGGACTACGCCTAGTAACTTATTCGTCAGGTCAGGCCCGCTTATTGTCTGCGCGTTCAAGGACTGACCGCAGTGCTTAGCGGCACAGCCAAAGATTGTCAGCATCTTCCCTTGTTTACCTGAATCGAGTATCGGGGTAGATACCATGTGGTCGTATCTGATGTGCAGTTGTCTCCGCCAACCACTTTGGCATTTCCATTATTAACCAACTCTTTCATGCCTCCTGCGTAACGTGACTTCAACTGATGATCTTTCTCCAGACGTCTGCCCAATGCGTTGCTCCAAGACAATTTTAAAAGTATTGGCAGTACATAATGCCCATCCTTCAGGCATACAGTCTTCCCCCACAATGCTATCGCCCTCTTTTCTTGGATTGACATGCCCTTGTCATCATCATAGAGTGGCTTGACAGCATCCAATCTCCAGAACCTCTGAACCTGTTGCACAAGTGTGTCATGGACTGCTACATAGCTTGAGGTGACTACAGCTTTTCTGGTCATCGCTAATGGCCCATTTAAGGACCATTCAAGTTGTGTTCTGGTAGCGTATGGTGCATTTGATTCACCGCTTCTCACTTCCAATGGCATGAGAGCTTCTGGCGAGTCTTGACCAATCAGCAGTTGTACCTTGCCTTTCTCAACTTGGGGAATGTTGATGCCTCGTACATGTGGCCACTTCTTGGCATATTCTGGCTCAGCTATGTTGTCGTCATTAATTAGGAGTGCTTGTCGTGTATAGACTTTCTCCAGGTTAACTGCTGCCTGTCTGTCGAAACTCCTCACCACCAAACTGATGACAGTTGTTTTGGTCTTTTCCTTCGCCTTGGCCATTGTTGTAAGGGTCAGAGACTGTCTTTTTCCGTCAATGTTCAGCTGACTTGCAAGCTCTCCAGTGCAGAAACTGCTAGTTGATCCATTGTCAAGTAGAGCATAAGTGTCGATGCTAGAACTGCCTTCTACTGCACTGACCTTCACTGCAACAATAGGTACGGCTACTCTGTACACCCCAACCCCCATGACGCAAGATGTGCCAAGGTCTGTCTCAGTGAAGCTACTTTGCGCTGTGGCCTCTGGCCTAACAGGAGTAACATCTTCGACGTTAGGTGACGGAGTCTGCTTCAACTGATGCAAGAACTTTATGTGTCTTTTTCTACATCCTGCCAAAGAATAAACTCTATGCAAACCACGTGCACTTGATATATGCCCTGGCCTTAAACAATTGTAACACAACCTTTCAGTTTTGGTGAAGTTAAACCGCTCGTCTGGGATTTTACCTTTGAATTCCAAACAACCAAACAGCGTATGGTTACACTTACACATTACACATTACACATGTTTATTTCATTTGGCATTGGTGAAAAGCATAGCTACTCTTGTCTGGTCGTGTTACTTTAATTCTCAACTCTGGTTTGTGTGGCTTACTTAAATGTAAACTGCCGTATACAGGATCATTGGCCTCTAGGGCTGCATCTTCTACAAACTCTACCAAATCAACAATCTTAGGCAACTTGTCACTTTTCCTAAGTCCCCTTACAAGTTTTATCCATCGGTTACATAGATAACTGGGTAGTTTCTCTGTAAGTTTTACCATAACACCTTGGGTCCCTATTCTTGGATATACCCCATAGCTTCCAGTGTTTCTTTGCAAACCTTGAGGTCATCAGCAAATTCTCTCAACCCTACTTTATCATGGAAAGCTAAACTTACACCCATGGTTACTTTATTTACCCATTCCTTAGCAATGGCATGATCACTGCCAAATCACTCCTTTAGCAGAGCCATGGCTTTACGGTACTCTATATCTGGCGGCATTATGGCGCAACACCCTATGACCTTCCTTGCCTTGCCAATACAGTACTGCAGCAGTCTGACCAGCTTAGCACAGTCATCAACAACAAAATTACCAGCACTGTTCTCGAATGCACGCATGAAAGTCCAATACTGTAGTAGGTTGCCATCGAAGCCAACGGCTCTGCTTTCTGAAATTGTATCGTCGCTAACAGGCGTTGCTGCTGTTGTCCCTTTTGCACCAATTCCAGCAGTGATGCTCGGTCCTGCAGGGTGCCTTCATCCTTCACGGTTGCCTTGGGTTTGTCCACGGAAGGATCCATATTCTTTGGTGTCGTATTCATCGGATTATCCACGGGAGAATGACCTTGTCCCTCTTGATGTGTCTGTTCATGCCCTGCTTCAGGCATACTGTCCTCACGTGACTCTTGCAACTGCATGTCGTTCAATGCTGGTGTCAAATTTGGGGGTGTCATGTAAACTTGGTCATTATCAATGGCATAAACTGTTTCTTCGGCCTTGTCATGTCCATCCTGTCCATCTTCGTAACTTTGTAAATTGTCTCTTCTTTTGTTGCATTTTCTACCCCATTAAATATCCAAACCTATCCCGAATTACCTATAGAAAACAATTAGAGCCAAAAAAGTAAATTATTTTAAATAATGCATTAAATGAATTCCACTTACGACTTTTGGATGACGTATGTCCTGAAACCAAATTACATGGCGACTCATGAAGTAAGCTGAAATTTCTAGATAGTGTGCCCACTGAACAGCGCCCTCTACTGGCAAATTGCAACAAGCAACTAACTTAACAACTATCAATAAATCATTAGATATGTTAGAGCTTTTGTTGTCACTTTCAACGCTACCTGCTTAGAGCTAAAGCACATGTAGCCTCATCAGATGAAGAGAGCCATGTTGGTCGGGAGTGTTCATTTTGTTGGTAGTGATGCGACCGTAACGCGCGCGTTGCATAGTCGTTCGTGAACGAGCGAAGTTCAGTTTGGACCAAGGGAGCCTGCGTTGCTAAGGAAATTGCGCCCTCTCTTGGTCCAGCTCGAGGTTTTACTTGCACCCTAAACACACGTCGAATACATGCTGTGCCGTCCACTCCACGACCTCGAGAAGAGGAAATTACTGCTCAGGCCACCGCTGAGAGAGGAGCGTGACGTCGCAGTACCCGTAAGAGATTTTTCTGCAATCTTTCTGACTGTATTGGTGGAGCTTGGTCAGGAAAAAAAACACGTCTGTCTTCTCTTTAATATAAAATGACTCTGAACTCATGACTTAGCAGGAACATATTGACGTTTGTTCCTTACCTTTTATTCTTTCAACATGATTACAAATTGAAACTTTTTTTATACTCTACAGGGTTGGCCTGTATCAAATTCTATTATGGAAAGATTACATTGATGGATTTGTGTGTAATTAGTCGTTATTAGGCTATATCACGGAAACCTCTAAATTAAACCATAATGAAATTATCGTTTGTACTTGTGTCTGTATACTCCAGTCTTGATGCAAAATGTACAGTTACTCATGTCGTCTTTGATTCTAAAGACAATATACAGTGCCGTTTGGCAAGCAACCCTATGTATCCTGTCAACTTTTGATAGAATGTCAGTTTCTATATTTTAAAATCACTTCATCAGAGAACGCCAAGTAGAGGAAAAACTTGAGATAGAAGTTTCCTAAATGCTCTGTAAACCTGTTTCCAAAAACAATCAGCGTTCTCCTTGCTGGTATAGGACTTCAACTAATAATTTTATCAACGATTCCATTGTGCTGATTTTAATGTGCGTCTATGGCTTTCCTGCCATTCCTAATTTATAATACACCTGTCGATCGATCAATCAGGGCCCTCACGCTGGGTGGTGTTTTAATTTACAAGACAATATTTACCTGCCTGACTACGAACCACAGGAAATGTAAAGTCTGCAGAAGCCAATCAGCAACCCACTTGGTAATACATTGCTGGTCGCCGTCATGTTGGAATGTTCAGTGACGTGTGACGCTCAGCCTTCGAGAGAGCTGTTTCCTGTTACCTTCAGAATGTCCAAGTAGTCTCCCTTTCTTCACTGGGCCACTTATTTTGTACAGTGACCTTGGACCACTAGCAGCAAATTATCTCCCTGGCCTAACTGCGTTCATTACGGTGTTTTCAGTTTGGAGGCCGGCACCTTCCGTGGGGAACCTTCCTGCTACATTCTGGCCTGAACATTCCATCTTGATTTCATCAGACCAAAGGACAGTCCACCGGCCAGGAGCGTCTGTTTTCATCCTCGTGGTTTCCTATATGGAATCTGTCACGACAAAATGACTGTGAAGTTGCATTCTGCTCTTCACTTTTTTGACGGTTCAAAGTCCAATATTCAAGTGGAGGTTTTGGGGTTTGTAATATTTGTAAAGAGAAGCCCGTCTCTGATTCAATTCCAAATAATATTCAAATTTTGATGACAGCATTATTTAAACAATATCTGTAACAAAGACGGAAAGCTGAAGGAATAATATCACATTGTCATCATGTACTTTTACCCTAAGGGTAAGCGTTTCATATAAATACCACTAAAAAGCTCTTTTTCTGCCAAATTAAAAAATGCCAATATTTAAATTTTTGACAATTCCGACTTTCATCTCATTTTGTGTTGGTAGGTCACATATGTTTCAGTATGGCTTCGCAATGACTTAATTGAAAGACAGGTTTCCTTTTAGTTCTGCAACCTCTTAGTAAGTTTTAGTGTTTCACTGCTTAAAATGTGGATTGTGGGAAGCTCGTCCCTGAAATCCTCAATTATTGGTACGGGTGTTCCTTGGTAGTCTTGGGTTCAAACGACACTTTTCTTATTGATGTCTTCTCGTCATTAGGTGTCAAAATCGACCCAAGGCCTGATCTTGGAAGCATCTTGGTCAACCCTAGGGCCTGGCTTCGCACAATTGTGTGAACAGATGACTGTTTTACTTCTTGTCGGTTTGATATGCCCTTTAAAAATGACCTGTTGTTAGCATAAAGAGGAAATACTAGCCGGGGGAAACCTAGACCCTTTTTAAAAGGCCTGAGTGAAATTGTGAATTAAGTCATCAAAGTTGAAAAGATTTCAGAATTTCTGATAAAAATTGAGGACAATGGTGGGCGTTATTATAGGAGTGGATAATGGAGATTGGAGAGAAAAGGGGTCTACATTAAAGTCAACTATATTCTGCTAAACCGTACGTAGATGCAAAGGCAAGACTGTAAGTGGCAGGAAATTCCAGAACGCTTCACTCATAACAGCATTTTTTAGGTTGGACTCGGGTATGGTGTGCACATTGTACGTTTAGTTCAAAGTGTATTTCTTTTTTGTCTTGTCAATACTTGCCTACTGTTTTACCAATATCTCTTTGAGGCTATCTTTGTATTTTCTCTATCGGTGACAGATACTTTCTCTTTGTCGAACTCATAGGATGCGTTACTCATTTTCAATTATCGATATCTCTATTTTGGACTGGATGTCAATTTTGCTTTCCATACTCGAGTGTCTCCTCAAAAGAACTATATATGGTAAAATATGTACCAAGAATTTTCCAAATGAAGCAACATCAAACCAGATATACAGTTAACTCCAACGGGCGGAAGTCTCATTCTATTGCAGGAGGTCGTCTCGACAAATCTGCATGCAAGAAAGCAAATTGCAAAGACAACATTTATATTGATAGACAGAGTAAAAGTCGGCATCTCTGCCTTGGTATTTCTTCCTGAATATTTTGAAGCCGATTTTCTCGCGTTGTTGGAGCTGTATGCTTGAAGGAGCAATCACGATGACATTACTGGTAAGGCTGTTTATTGTACTGACTGTATAGTTCGTCAGGAAATTTGGGCGTATCATCAGTCTTACTTGTTTGTCTTATGCATATTTGTTCCATCTGAATAATTGGCAATAATTACAAAACCCGAGAGAGTTGATGTTGCAACACCAGATGCTGGCCATCCCCCTGCACGTTCTTGCAAAACAAGGAGCATGTGTAATGCCCGTTCACCACCAAAACCATGCACTAGAAAGGCCACCAAATAAAGAAAAAAGGTATACCAAAGGTATCCCTGTTCGTTTTAAGTTACCTATGTTATTTTTTTTTTCGTGTGCGGCAACTTCTGGTCTGATTCCAATCGTGACATTTTCTATTGATAGTTGGAATAAACCTGGGGGGGACCTGGAGCTATTCCATTTTTTCCCCAGCGAACACTGAAAGCAAATATTCAGTGGCTTATCTCAATACGTTTTTGACTTGTTATAGCGGAACCTGTACGGATACCGGCCTTAAATACACGACTTTCGGCGAGTAAACTCTCGGAATATTGAAACAACTGAGAACTCCTAATTTAGTGAATAAGAAAGAAACTGTTTAAAACAGCTAGGGAAAGCGACATATACAGTAAGACTGTTGAAACTATAACAATTAAGGCAATAATTGTAAAAACTACTGAAACAGAGCGATTCAAGGTTTGCGTCTCAGATTAGCTGAATCAAATTACATGTATATGGGAGTCGCTATGTTAGCTATCTTGTGGATGGACTGCAGCAATCAAAGAACTATTCGCTCTTCGCACGCTGCGGCCATAGGCATGCAGAGCCTCTATCTGGCAGCTTTACAGACTAAATAATCTGGTTCAGTGATTTGTGTGTATGTTGCTTAGTAATTTTTCACGCGCTGCCCTAGTTCTTTTACCGTGCAATTGGACAAGATTCTGACGCGATTGTACAAGCTGCAAGTTCGAGGATCTGCATGCCTATGCATACAGAGCGAATGTCGTACCGAAGCGAATACGTTATGACAATTATGTGTGTAAAAAGCATGAGCTTGAGAAACAGCTGGTGAACCAACACGCACGCGTAGCCCCAACCAAGGACCTGTGCAAAAATATTGATCTCCATTATATCATACAGGAAGGACACAAAGGGAGTTTGAACTGCCCGGGCTGTAACATCTAGCCAATTACCGCTTTCTGGCATGCCTGGTATGTCCATAGCCAGAGCGTAGCGAACGCTTGCTACGCACCGTGCACCATCTGTGTCACAACCACGGAACCCCTTTGTGCCCAATGATCGCCGCCGCAATTTGTCGCTGGTAATCTGCATCCTTAAAACTTCGCGTACTGAGGTATGCGAAATTGAATACTCATGCCTTTGTTGGTGCTTGGTATGACAACATCAAACGTAATGCTTGCGCAGTTGCTTGCATTACGCCGTGTGCCCTAAATCTGTAGGTGCAGTCATTGCCCTCAAAGAGCTCTTTCTTCTGGAGTTATTTTGGGAATAAATAGCCCAGTTGTATACAAGATTTTCTGTTTTGTTTGAATCATTTTTATTATGGCATTTGTACAAAAGCGCATTCTATGAGATTTCACGATCACTCCCTGTGATCAAATAGAGCATTTTGTTCCTAATGAACTAAGCTTTCCAGTAATTGTGAACATTTTGTTGGCCAGTCTTAAATTCGTGCCAAGTCTTTGAACAGAGGAGAACGAAATTACAAACTTTGCATTAATAATGGACAGTGTATTTACGATGGCAAAAGTAGGTCCAATATCAGAGATTCTTCTCTCTCTCTTTCCTGGGCACAGCGATAGTTGGATTTAATTGTAGCAAAAAACTACAACTTTTGCTAGGATATGACTAGCCCCCCTTCTCCGGCTAAGATGCAGGCAGTAATCAGGCATTTTTGGAATGTTTTCTATTATTCGTTTGACTCGGCGGCGACAATCGTTGAACACTTTGAAGTGCCCGAGTTGCAACTCCTTTCGTGTCCTTCCATTTTGATTACATGTTTAATAGACTGGATAGGACATCGCGCATCGAACAATGTGATGCTGTATGCTGTGCATTTCTGGTCAACATAACCTTTTTCTAGAGGGATGATGGCTAAGCCCTTGGCGTCCCTCCCGAAAACAAGCCAAAAATAGACAAAAAAGTAGAAGTATCATTTTCGGAAATAACCGACCATTTTCTAACCCACTCGAAAGCGATAAGGTTAACATATTTTTGTGTGTTTGTTTTTAATTCATTTTTAAACCTATTGTCTACGGTCTCGCTTTAGCAATATTTTCACTTGTGAGCACAGTTTTAAATGAGCAACCAAACTAACTTACTGCCGTTTTTACAACAGGCCTTTTTTAAACGGCTTAAAAAGTTGAGTTTACAGCCTGACTTAAAAATTTACAGTTAATAACTACTTTCCAGCATTAACAAGTCAGTTTTAAGAGAGAGTGAATAATTTTGTTTTTCAGACAAAGCTTCATTCAGTGCGTTGACTTCATTCCACAGAAATGTAGAGCAATCTGCTTCTCACTTCTGTTTCATCTCTGCCCAAAATTCATATCACATCGTCTGTCACACGATTTGGGTTCAGTGCGTCTTTAGATCCGTCAAACACAAATCATGGCTGTCTTGGAGATTTTGCACGTGAAATCTGGGGAAAATAAATGACAAATTAGTCATTCCAAGTAGAGGATTTATATGTAACGTTTTTGTCCTACATGTCAAGCAATGTCTGTATAAGGGCCCCTACTCGACAAGCTTTACTTCGTAGTGGTCCCTCCACCTTTGTGTGGAAATAAAGTCAAGTCAAGTCAAGTCAAGTCAGGTCAAGTCAAGTCAAATGAGACACCACTTTCGTCAACAAGTAACATTTCAGACGCTCCCAACTTCAAGTTAGTGAGGTTTTGTATGCAAACCCTGATAGGCTAGATAGATTGTCCTAAGTTTCTTAGTAAGCCTGTATAGGCTTAAGCATCACTGAATACAACTTGAGAAACTTTCTGACACTTAAAAAAAAAAGGTGTTACATTTCTTTCTGTGCCCTCTTCCAAAGTGACGTTGATCTCCGGTAATTCACTGCTGCGTACACCTCAACCATTATTATTTCCAAATTTATCCGATCCAAGTGTAGAATTCAGTTTTTCTTCGAAACCTGACGATTGAAGCACAAAAACCACAACCGGTTTTTTAAAAACTCCATTTGGAAGTGCAACCTTTATTATTTAACCCTTGAAAATACGCATACGTGCGGGACGCGTTTTGGACGCGATGTTCTATCCAGTCTATAGAATGGAGATCAATGGCGCAAAACCACAGACATTGTGTTCCAAATCATATCTGTTAACGCGTTGTGCTTTTCGAACCGCTAGAATAAATAAGCGCTACAGGGCTGCGTTCAAACATTATAGCACTGGCTCATTTTAAATATTTTTGAAATATTCTATTCAAATATGCTTTCTTTACATGCAGTATGAATGATCAGATTATTAATAATTAGTTATCGCTGAAATCAAGTAAATCTGTGAGAGAAGTGCATTGAAACAAATATTGACACCTTTATCCCGTGGTGGTGTTATGGCCAGCTATAATGAATCATGGTGCTTTCCATTTTCCTTCGCCTTAATACCCTCGGAAAAGCAATTGGCATGTAAAAAAAACATTTATCAAGTGTTTTTAATAACTTTTTTTCATTTGTCGTTCGATTAAGCTGAAGTTTTTTAAATCCTCACTCTATCCATGTGCTTCAAGACTGAAGAGTCTCTTTAACGCTGCTATAAACAGCTGGTGAATATTGAGCCTTGACAGACAGGCACTCCACTCTAGCCAATGGCTAGCCTATGGGAAAGCTTGGCCCTGGCCCTGCTATGTAAACGAGCTCACTGTGTCTGTTTTTGTGCCGCCCTGGCAGTTATAAACGGTCCCAGCCCTTTTTGCCTCTGGTTTCGTTTTTTGAAAGGCTATTCTATGGGAGGTAAATCATGCTTGGGGCTGGGGGGGGGGGGCTTCTGTGGCCAAAGTGGGGATCGGCTTATAAGTGTGGTCAAGTGGCTGCAATGCACATGTGGGCATTGTACCTGGGCCCCTGTTGGGATTGTGTAAGGTGGCTGATTGGTGACAACCTCATAGATTTAATGAAAGTCAATGCTGGCCGATAAAGAATGGCTCACACGCCAGAGTCAGAGTTTGTGTTCTATCTTTTGATTTTGGTAACGTTCCTAGCAGGTCTTTCTTTGCCTTTCTCCTCCCCTCTTTCTTTCCTTCTTTACTTCTTTATGCTGAAATATACAATATAGTTGGATATCAATTAACAAACAAGTAATTAGCAATCAGGAATCCTTAATTAAGGTGCGATTACAATCAATGAGTACACGAGGATGCACAATGTGAATGTACATTAGACTTCCTAACTTTCGCAAACCCATCCCATAGAAGCCCCTCAAAATCCCCTCCATAGATTGTATATAAATCCCTTGAAACAAATCCTTATATAATAATACAAAGAAATACTTAGGGAACTCACAAAGTCAATGATTACAAAAAGGGGATCTGTTTGGATACAAGCGGCGGAAAATACATTGGGAAAAACGGTAGGAGTCGGCCTTGATGGTATTGTTTGGTGATAAAGTACACAGCGCCACCCAGTGGCGAGATGCCATTGTGAAAGTCACTGTTAATGATAAAGAGCGCCCTTTCTGTCTGAAAAGGGTTGGGTTTAACAGCCCCCCCAAAAAAAACCCCAAAATATAACAAAAAATGTCATGTAAGTGTTTCCTGGAAGTCGAATAATCCATCTAAAAGGATTAAAGGTGCTTTAGGCCTCTATTTAGGCATAAAATCCATCCATATCGTTTTACCCGTTTATCCTTAAAACATTTTGCTTGCAGGGATTTATAATTATTAAAAAAAGAAACATCTTTATTGATTGTTTAGTTATATCTTCGGAAAAATCATTGATCCATATATATTGGGGCTAGTTTTACTAAAATAATTGAAGAAGTCATTAAAAGATAGATTGAACAGGTGAACCATAACAAATTTAGGTTGATTTTATTATTCTACACAATAATATCAAGTACTAGGAGGAACAACACGTGGTTCAACATTGCACAAACGTTTTGGGATTTTGAAACGAATGAAATTACTAACAGCTAAGGATGGATTGAGAACATCGTCGCTTTTCCGTTTCTTTACGTACCTTGTTTCTTTGGATAATTTTATGTCGCTCAGAGAAAGTAAATTAAAAAACTAGGTTGTTTGACTTTTATTTGTTCGAAATATACAGGTGAAACAAGAACCGTCCCTGGTGCTTTCGATGATCCTGACGCTGTGGCTCTCTAGTAGTCACTTTGTCGCCCAGGAAGAACTAAAAGGGGCTCCAAATTGCTGTGGTACCTGCTTGCAAGGACCGACTGGAACACCTGGCGTCCCGGGGATCCCTGGGAGTTCAGGAGGTCAAGGACCTATTGGCCCCAGAGGTGACCCCGGCATTGGCCTGCCTGGACCCAAGGGGGAGACCGGCGAGCAAGGACTGAAGGGAGACCAGGGCGAACGGGGGATACAAGGGCTTCCGGGGAAGCTGGGGCCTGCGGGTCGAAAGGGGGACATCGGTGAGGGGCAGAAAGGTGATCAGGGGCAGCAAGGAGTCCAGGGACCACCTGGTGAAAAGGGGCAAAAGGGTCAGCCAGGAGATTCTACCCTGGTTACACCAACACTGCCCTCTGCTGTCGCATTCAGTGCTTACCGTACGACCCAAGTCACAGGCAATGGTGGTGATGTCATCATCTTTGACAACATCGAGACAAATCTCGGCGATGGATATAGCTCGCAATCCGGTGTGTTTACATGCTCAGTACCGGGGGCCTACTTCTTCACAACCAGCTTACAGAGGACCGCATCCTCAGTGCATCCTTACGTCAAACTGAAAAAGAACAGTCAGCTTGTCTTTTCCATCTATGATAGTGGCTCTAATATGTACCGTCAGTGTAGCAACTCAGCAGTTATTATTCTGGCTGCGGGAGATAGAGTTTGGCTTGAGTTTGGCAATAATAACCGAGGTATTTACAGTGACTCTAGCAGGTATTCCTTTTTTTCTGGATTTCTGATCTATTCAATGTAGGGCAACTATGGAGGAAACTTGATAGATTGTTTGCTGTAAGAAACCAGATACGACTAGAGTGAACAACTGAAGCGGACTGGGTCCTCTGGAAAAATAGGAATTGGTAGCAATGAAACCATATAAAAGGATTGGCGGACTTTTCTGGAGAGATTATTTCGACATTTAAGTTTTCTTTTTCGCAGACATTGTTTTCATTATCTTCATGTTTCTAGACACATGCGACAATTCTTTACCGTCAGTCTTGCAACTCAACTGTTATAACTGTTATTGATTTAGCGGCAGAAGATAGGGTCTGGCTGAAGTGTGTCAGTAATAACTGAGGTAAAGCATTTATCCTTTTTTTCTTGCTTTCTGATAATCCTAGTGATGCAACTTGGGACAATTTTACTTGTGTGGTGATTGGCATTGTAATAAAAAATCTATTTAAGTGCATTGATCATAACACTGCATTTCTGGTAATAATTTGCAATGTATGTTGCGCTTTTTAAATATCCATGAGGCATGACCATTATTCCGGTCAGAAATTACCTTTTGTAGACTAGTTTGACCTTTTACGAGTGACTGTTTACCCAGAATAGTCACACACCGACCAGGGAAGCAGTCAGGCACCAAGGGATTAAAATTGCAGATCAGTGATTAAGGAGTCTCAAGACTGTTGCCTCTTTGGCTTAGATTTGAAGGGTATGGCACATCTCGTTTCAATTTTGACATCTCTGTCCTAAGCAACTATGGCAAAATTGAAATGAAAGTTTGCCATGTGTCAAACGTTAGTATGAATATCAGGAATAGAAAAGTTACACACAGCGAATTAAAAACAAAATGAAATGCAGTCCTATGATTGGAAAATGATAAACAGGAAAGGAAGTCAATATAAAAATAAGCACTAGCCGATAGGTTTATATTTTTATGAAGAAACGAACAAGTTTTCTTAATAAAAAAGGCATGATTTGAAGACAAACAAAGAACTTATATCTGGGAAATTGTAATAAAAAGCATACTTTATCATTTCGTGAGTAACCCTCTAAATTGACATGCTACACATAAAAATCCTCAAAAATGGTGCAGCTTCAGAATGTTGTAAAATAAAATGTGCAAAAATGAAGAAAAACAATATAGACAGTATATTACCAGAACAAAACAGGAACTAATAACGTTTCAGTAATCTTAATCTACATCGTAGGTTGGAATTAAGCTCATTTAGTTACTGCATGCCTTTCAAACAATTTAAATGATATTACTTTGGTACTTATTGGTACGAAGATCTTGAACAGTTAGTTGCTTTCTCTTCATAATACATTGTGTTGGCCATTTGATGTGAGTATTCCTTTCATAGATTTGATTTTTGCAAGAGATATACCTGTAGCCCTGAAGACTTTGGACCCTTCTTGAGCCACATCTATGTAAGTACCACTTCATTTCTATTTTTCGAAGTGCTGAATTCTTTTTGTAACAGCCTTGATTTCCGTCCCGCGTTTTTAAAAATGCATGTTCACACGTCACCGTGTGCGCTTTCTCTTCTACCTGATAAGATAATGTACAGAAATATTTACTAGTTTGTTGTTCTCTTAATATTTTTGCTAGGTTTAGCATAATCTGCTACAGCCATCAAAACGATTTCCGGGAGAAATTTGTAGTGTAATGTAGCCACATTATTTCGAAAAAGTGATTCTTTGCAGGAGAGAAATAATTTGTCAGTGTAACTCGTTTCGATGAAATGTTTCGTTGGTTTGAAATTGCCAGACACGGGCAGGCACTGCATCAGAAATTCAGATAATTTGTCTCGTGATTATGGACGTGATAATGTTTTTTCAGTAATGGTTCTGAAGGTGATAGAATGAAAATACATTACACAGATTCCAATGCCCTGGCTGTGTTTCTTTTTTCGGTTGCAGTTAACAGATTCATTTTTAATTTTTTTTCATAAATCATCCTTAATTGGTAGAAACAGCATTGTTCATTTTATTTTGGAGAACATCCCATTTTTATAGCTATGGGATATTTAAAGAATAATCATAATGGCAAAATTCAATATCGAATTAACTTATTCTAAGATGTCATTTATTTTTAAAATCTACTGGCGTTATTTTTTAAAGAGTAGAAAGCACAACTGAAAGTGGCGAGAAAAACTAACACAAAGGAATTAAATTCAAAATCAAGTCATGCACAGACGACAAGTAGAAGATTACGCTACAAATCCAGTTTCAGATATTGCAACTTCTTTTTTTTGGCCAAAACATGTACACGATTTTGGCAAATATAAAATTAGTGGTGAAACACAAGAACTGAACACTCGATCACAGACGTTAAATCGCTCAATTGCCAGGAAGCTTCATTTTATTTCATTTACGTTGAATTTATGTTATTTATCCACTACAAGTTAAAAAAAAATAGTGTGTTAACGTTTCAAGCTAGTGGGGACAAAAAGAATCCAATGACCTCCGTGCATGAAAAACATCCCTCGACTGGCAAAAATCGTGATGAGGGGTTGAAAAAATATCCCTGGACTTTACAAATGACCTCGGATAAAAAAAAAAACACCCGTCAACGTGACAAAAAGTCTTGAGGGATGGCAATTTTTATCCCTTGACTTAAGCTACATTATTATACAATTACTTAGGTATTAATGATTAACTTTCCCCACCATGCTTGAATACATGTTTATTAATATACATCTCTAGACCTCTTCCAGTTTCATGACACTCTCGAAAGAAACTTATTTTATTATAAGGAATCATTGTGACTAAACCTATTTAATATTTAAATCGAAAATCACAGACACATACACTCCCACCCCACCCGCCCTTTGGGCTTTTTACAACTGAGTTTAAAGTTATCGCAAAAGAAAAATTCACCATAGGTTGTGCTTGTTAGACCAAACGCTGAATATACATTTTTCCATTGTGGAAGTATTAGATTATTTCAGAAAATTAGAAATGAAAGTGGGAGAATAGCCTGGATAATTGAACAAACATTAACAATGCAATGTTTATCTAATGGTCCTCTAGCTGGATCAACAGAGGATTCAATTTCTAAGTAATATAGAATCCCTGTCGGAAATGAACTTGGCTGGTTCATAAACGGGTTGACACTGAGCTTTATCATCTTGTTGGCCCTTTTTGCATGGGAGTATTAAAGAGGTAGGGAAAGGAAAACCTTTCTCATGATCGCGCCGTGCTGTCACCTGCCATTGCGCCCTCGATGACAAAAGAGGTAGCACGGCCTGTCCGATCCGAGCAGGATGTGTAGGCCTAATTAGCTAAGAAAAACCGGTGATGGCAAGACGAAACGCCACCACGCTTCGCACATATGTCGTATCTAGAACCCTTAACATTGGACAATATTTTGTGGATCCGCTAAGGGGTCGTCCATAAAGTATGCATGCACAAAATGCCTACTTTTCAGACCCCTCCCCTGTACGCATGGCTCCAACCCCCTCTTTTGACTTCTCAGAGTACCTTGCTTAACATTATTAAATGTCACAGTGTATTGTACAGTACATCTACTGTGGTAACTGTTATTCGTACGTCGCTTCCAAATTCTTAAATAAATGACGACAGTGATAACAGGTTTCTATATCGGTGTTTCTTTATTAATGGTCCAGGAATTTTTTTACTTAGCAACTTAAGTTAAAAAAGATGTTGAATAAAAAAAAAGAAACAAATAATCCTGGTGCCTTTTTCCCTTCTTGTTTGTAAAAGAAAGTGTATTAATATGATGAGATTCATTAAAGGCAATTTTTAATTTGCGTACGGAACGCACTGGCTTGAACCCCCTCCCCCTCTGTACGCAAGGTGTAAACAATGGCACCATCCCCCCCTTCGTGCGTACATACTTTATGGGCGACCCCTACAACAAAGATTATCCTCTCCCACATTACAAAACTTGACAAGAAGTTAGATTTGAAACTTTGCATATTATTGGAGGCCAGACTATGAGAACTTTTTAGGGTGACACCACGCACGCGCATGTGAATTCAGTCTCCTAAGGCCCGCTTCTAACGTGTAAATAATCTTCTAAACGATGACTAAAAATTTAGCAAAAATTTGACGTTTGAAGCAACTGCCGGCTTTCTGCCGAAAGTTCGACAGGTCTTGCCGCTTTTAACGGCAGAAGAGCGGCACGGCTTCAAATGTCGAATTTCTGACGTGTCTAATTCAATTTAAGCTTTCGAACTTGCAACATTGAGTAGTACTGATTGTTGCAAGAGAAAGCATCTTCTTCTTGCAATGAGAATATGTCGCAATATCATTCTTTCGCGGTCGGCCAAGTAATACTTTTGTATTAAAGTCAACAGAAAAACGGCGTATGAAGCAACTACCGAATTTCTGCCGCTTTTTATGTCGATCGCAATTAATTGAATTAGACACGGCAGAAGTTCGACGTTTGAAGCGGGCCTTAGAGTGATGATGCTGAGAAGAGCTTATGATGAGTGTAAAGTCGACGTTTCCACCATGATGCCCTGGTCGTCCTCAAGAGAGGTATTATGGATATGTGTAAATGTTCTGATACGGTCAAGCCACAACAGCAACAGTGCAGTGATGAATGAATGAACCAGTGATGAACCAAGACGAGGACAGCAGCCGTTAATTTAACTTTACCTGCGCCTGCTGGGTAATCAACAGGCACCTTTTGAAAATGGAAGCCCTAGTTGATCGAGACGTGAGAGAAATCTGCGCATGATACCCAAGTTTGCCAAGAACCACTACTTTTGGATCTTTTCTTTACATTATCTTCAACAAACCCGCAGGTTAGCTGATGACCCATGGTAAGATCCTTTTGTACTGCCAATGGAGTGATAATGTAACGCACATAGCCTCATTTTTAATTCAGATGCATAACTTTAAATAAAATATTAAGTAAGGCACGATCTGCAAATTGAGAACTTGGCACAGCGTGAGATTGAAACTGATCTTATCCAATCAATATAAAAGAAGAAAGAAAGCAACAAACAATACCGAGATCAGAAAACACCGGCTGGAACAAAAAGATTTCAACCACATCCGCTCCCTGGCCATATTTCAACAACAGAGCAGCACTGAAAGCTCAAGTCCAAGCCCTGCAGCAATCTGTCGCCTTTGGCCGTGGACTACAGTCTCCACGATAGCTGCGCACCAGCTTACCCTTTTAACTGCAAGCTCATTACAATAGGAAGGACGACAAGACAGCTTCAAAGTGGAACATCAGAAACCCTCCAGCAGATCAAGGATCGCCCAATCGTGCCAGAGGATGCACAAACTGGTAGTCGGCCGGGCTTCTTCGCACTCTATCTCCGAGAGAGATCCCACAAACGAGGCGTTAATGCAACAACACCTAGATGTTCATCCTCCCCAAATAATTCTCTTATGTAACATGGCCAGAAGAATGAAGCTTTCAGAACAAACCCCCCAATCTGGGTGAGAGAGCCAAAAGATTTGCCCCCAAAGCTCAATCTTATTAATTTAATTAACAGGCAGTCTCATAAAACAACGAAGCAATCTGGATAAACATAGCGTTTACTTTAGTACTGTTAGGGTCTTGGGTTTCCCATTGAAGAACATAACGTCATGTAGTTAGGCACCTTAGTTGCATGTGACCTTTGTGTAGCAAGGTGCTATTCGGTTGGTCCACTAGTGGTAAAATAGGGTCGATATTTCGGTATTATTTCATATGTTGTTACTTTTCATGTCTTTCTGTGTAAATTCTAAGCATAAGTCACTAATACTACATGGTTACTTAGGCCTGGTAATTTTCACAGGTAATTTACTTGTCACCTTCATGGTCAGTGTAGTGATATTTGACTTGCCGGTATGAACCCAGTGAACTCGCGGGCTTCATGGGTTGATTGACCTAAACAAGACCATGCCGTTCTCTGCCATCGTACCGTGCTTAGGGAATTCCATCAATGTTTTTAATTGAGGGATTTTGAGAGCCCAGACGTTTGGTGAGTCTGCAGTACAATGTCTCATGTTTCGATGTTGTACTGTACTTTTACGTACTTTCACTACATGTGCATATTGTGGGGTTGTTTCGTTACGCTTGGTGTGGGAAAACATTATGCCCTGGTTATCTTGTATTACATAGGCATACATGCACGTTGTATTTGTATTGCGCTTATATTTACACGGACAGGTTGTATCTCAACGTGGCATAATATGGTGAAGAAAGTCTTATAACCATTAGATTACCTTGTGAGATTCCCCTTGTTTGTTCATCTGCGTATAATTGCAATATCGCAAGGGGAGTTATAATTGTGGGATGTATTTATTGACAGCCTGTGCTACATGTACATGTAATTGGTGAACAGCTTATTTGTGAGGCATGAGGTGCACTACACACCTGTACCAGTAGCTGTATTTTTATTCAATCATCTCAGCGTCAGGGTAAGAGACAAATTCTCTTTTTATCAGCAGGATGATAATATTATTGTTGCTCTTTTTTAATTATGTCGGAACACATGACATGACATGTTGGGTAAAATTAGTGTCACTTTTTCTTGTTTCATACAGGGTTTCTTTTGTACACTACATTTTACTGTTGCTGCAAAGCGTAATCGCTATTACTCCGGGCGAATGTTTTGACTGGAGCACCATCTATTGAATGCAATCAACGAACAAACCCAGTTGTGATCCCAGTTGTGATTCTTAGCTAAGTGTCTCCCCTGACCCCCCCCCCCCCATCGGTGGACGGACTCCCCCCTTCGAGGCGATCCAAGGGTCAGACCACTACAGTACTAAGGAGTTGCTGACTTTAGTAGTTGTTTAACTTTCCTGTCGACATTGCTCATGAAAACCCTTCTCACAGCGGACGACCTTTAAACACTCGTTGGGAATTCCCTGTAGAAATATTTGCATCTTAAGGAAAAACTTGGAGAAAAAACTAGATGCCATCGAATCAACTTGCACGGTAAAAAAAACCGCAAAGACCACATTATACAACGCGGATCTCAGTGTTTCACCACGCGAG